GGAAGAGGAGCTGGAGGCAGAGCGGGCAGCCCGGGCTCGTGTGGAGAAGCAGCGCGCGGAGGCGGCACGGGAGCTGGAGGAGCTGAGCGAGCGGCTGGAGGAGGCGGGCGGTGCATCTGCGGGGCAGCGTGAGGGCTGCCGCAAGCGCGAGGCAGAGCTAGGGCGGCTTCGGCGGGAGCTGGAGGAGGCAGCGCTGAGGCACGAGGCCACGGTGGCGGCGCTGCGGCGCAAGCAAGCAGAGGGCGCCACGGAACTGGGTGAGCAGGTGGACAGCCTGCAGCGGGTGCGGCAGAAGCTGGAGAAGGAGAAGAGCGAGCTGCGCATGGAGGTGGACGACCTGGCTGCCAACGTGGAGACTCTGACCCGCGCCAAGGTGTCTGTGCCTTCCTGAGCCCATACCCACCCTGACTTTAAACCAGTCCCGACCCCAGCAGCCAATACTGTCTTCATACCAGCCTCCACCTGGTACCTGATCCTGAGCCCTGACCTGTTAACCTGGCACCCAACCCCTATTTCTCAGCCTCCTACCAGTCCTGACCTTAAGCCCTGACTCCCTGTGACCCCAGCCCTTGACTTGTGAACTCTGACCTAATACCTGTCCTCTCTTCCTGTTTTGAACCCCAGCACCCTAACCTTGACCCCTGACCTTTCTACCATGCAATCCTGACCACTGACCTCTGACCACTGTCCCCAGCTGACTCCACAGCTACTATCTCAACTCTCACCCTGGCCCACTGGCCCTGTCAGTTTTAATGCTCAGCAGAATCCCTTTTCCTGACTTTGAACTTGGGGCTCTGCTCTCCCTTTGATTCCTGGGCCCACATCTAGCTTACCAGTTTCTGATCCCAGATCCCAGTCTCTGACTGGCAGATCCAGATCCTGCCCTCTGATGCACAAACTTGTTCCGATGTCTGACCCCTGACCTCTGACCCCTAACCCGGGATCTCAGGCCAGTGCAGAGAAGCTGTGCCGGACCCATGAGGATCAGCTTAGTGAGGCCAAGATCAAGGTGGAGGAGCTGCAGCGGCAGCTGGCAGACGCAAGCACGCAGCGTGGGCGGCTACAGACGGAAAGTGGTGAGGCCAGGGGCTCAGCTGGCCATACTGGACAGGGCTCTGGTGCAGCCCTCACCGGCCTGAACTGCCTGCTTGCCTCTTCACCTGCAGGGGAGCTGAGTCGCCTGCTGGAGGAGAAGGAGTGTCTCATCAGCCAACTGAGCCGTGGGAAGGCCTTGGCCGCTCAAAGCCTGGAGGAGTTGCGGCGGCAGCTAGAGGAGGAGAGCAAGGTGGGCTGGCGCTGGTGACCATGGAGTATGCAGGTGGGCACCGGGGCCACTGGGCTGGACCAACGCTGAGGTCACTGATGTCCCTGCAGGCCAAGAATGCCCTGGCCCATGCAGTACAGGCTTTACGGCACGACTGTGACCTCCTGCGGGAGCAGCACGAGGAGGAGGCTGAGGCCCAGGCTGAGCTGCAGCGGCTGCTGTCCAAGGCCAATGCCGAGGTGGCCCAGTGGAGGAGCAAGTACGAAGCAGATGCCATCCAGAGGACCGAGGAGCTGGAGGAGGCCAAGTGAGTGCTTTGCTGGCCAGGCCACTGCTGCGCAGAGCTTTACACATGCACCTCTGAGCCCCACTGAGGGTGGGCAAAGGGAGCTGTTGGGCTGTTCTCCCTCCCTCCACGGTCCACACCTTGTCTCCTTCCATGGCCTAGAAAGAAGCTGGCACTACGGCTGCAGGAGGCAGAGGAGGGTGTGGAGGCTGCCAACGCCAAGTGCTCGTCGCTGGAGAAGGCCAAGCTTCGGCTGCAGACAGAGTCAGAGGATGTGACCCTGGAGCTGGAGCGGGCAACCTCAGCGGCCGCTGCCCTGGACAAGAAGCAGCGGCACCTAGAGCGGGCACTGGAGGAACGGCGGCGGCAGGAGGAGGAGATGCAGCGGGAGCTGGAGGCAGCACAGAGGGAGGCCCGTGGCCTGGGCACCGAGCTCTTCCGGCTGCGGCACAGCCATGAGGAGGCACTTGAGGCCCTGGAGACGCTCAAGCGGGAGAACAAGAACCTGCAGGGTAGGACCTGCTGCATGCCAGGGCCAGGGTGCTGCCCTGGGGTTGGAGCACCTCGGAGTCATGGGGTGCCCTGGTGGGGACACCCTGTAATCAGGGGTGGAGTGACTTGGGCGGGAGTACAAGCCATGGGGGTGGCCCCTCAGCACCCTGTCCACTGCAGAGGAGATCAGCGACCTCACGGACCAGGTGAGTCTCAGTGGGAAGACCATCCAGGAACTGGAGAAAGCCAAGAAGGCGCTGGAAGGTGAGAAGAGCGAGATCCAGGCTGCACTGGAGGAGGCAGAGGTCAGGGGCTGGCCGCAGGGGTGGGTGGACGCTGTCCTGCTGCTCCCTGGCTGCACCCCCACCCCAGCCTGACTGCTCTGTATCTACAGGGGGCCCTGGAGCTGGAGGAGACCAAGACGCTGCGGATCCAGCTGGAGCTCTCCCAGGTCAAAGCGGAAGTGGACCGGAAGCTGGCAGAGAAAGACGAGGAGTGCACTAACCTGAGGTGTGTTCATCCTCCTCCCGTCCCTGCCTCCCGAGAGCAGTAGGGAAGGGAAGCAGTGTGTACTCTGCTCTCTCTACTCTGCCCCTCCCGCGTGACTTTCTCAGGTCCAGGTTGCCGTCTCCACTCTAGAGGTGAACCTCAGAGACACTAAAGGACTTGCCCAAGGTCACACCGTGGGGGTGGAGCCAGAGTTAGTCCACCTGTCTGCCTAGGCCTCACTCTTGTCCATGAACTTGCTCTGATGGGCCACAGGCAGTCACAAGGGGCTTTAAACTAGGGCGGGATGACTCACTTGTTCTCAAAATGGGTTCCTGGCCCCAGTAGTCCTTGGGCATTTGTATGGACAATTGTGTCCTCATGGGAACTCCTCTCATGCCACCCTCCTCACATAGGCGCAACCACCAGCGGGCCGTGGAGTCCCTGCAGGCTTCCCTAGATGCAGAGACGCGGGCCCGCAATGAGGCGCTGCGGCTCAAGAAGAAGATGGAGGGTGACCTCAACGACCTGGAGCTGCAGCTGGGCCATGCCACCCGCCAGGCCACGGAGGCCCAGGCTGCCACACGGCTGATGCAGGCACAGCTCAAGGAGGAGCAGGCAGGGCGGGATGAGGAGCAGCGGCTGGCGGCTGAGCTCCGCGAGCAGTCACAGGCTCTGGAGCGCCGGGCCGCGCTGCTGGCGGCGGAGCTGGAGGAGCTGCGGGCTGCCCTGGAACAGGGCGAGCGCAGCCGGCGGCTGGCAGAGCAGGAGCTGCTGGAGGCCACTGAGCGCCTCAACCTCCTGCATTCGCAGGTGGGGACAGGAGTCCCTGGGGACAGAGCAGGTGCAGGCCTGCGGGCGGGCTCTGAGACTCCGCTTCCCCTCAGAACACAGGCCTCCTGAACCAGAAGAAAAAGCTGGAGGCGGACTTGGCCCAGCTGAGCGGGGAGGTGGAGGAGGCTGCACAGGAGAGGCGGGAGGCTGAGGAGAAGGCCAAAAAGGCCATCACTGACGTAAGGCTGGGCCAGGGTTGTGGGGTGCCTGGGGCAGAACGCAGAGGGACTTCCCTGAGGCTGGTCCCCACAGGCGGCCATGATGGCCGAGGAGCTGAAGAAGGAGCAGGACACGAGTGCACACCTGGAGCGGATGAAGAAGACGCTGGAGCAGACAGTGCGCGAGCTCCAGGCCCGCCTTGAGGAGACGGAACAGGCCGCCCTCCGTGGCGGGAAGAAGCAGGTGCAGAAGCTGGAGGCCAAGGTGTGTGAGGACCCTCCAGTCCTGGGCCCAGCAGGGTGGGTAGCCCGGGGATGGACTTGGCATCAGGCCCTCCCTCTGCCTACAGGTGCGGGAGCTGGAGGCCGAGCTCGACGCAGAGCAGAAGAAGCACGCTGAGGCCCTTAAGGGCGTGCGCAAGCATGAGCGCCGTGTGAAGGAGCTCGCATACCAGGTGGGTGACGGTCTCCCTGGGGAGGGGCCCTGGAGCTGGCCCAGTGTAAGCAAACCCTGAGTCCCCCTTGCCTGCCCAGGCTGAGGAGGACAGGAAGAACCTGGCTCGCATGCAGGACCTGGTGGACAAGCTGCAGAGCAAGGTCAAGAGCTACAAGCGCCAGTTCGAGGAGGCGGTGAGTGCGTTGGGGTCTGGACACCTGGACCCAGCACCCCTCAGCATGCCCAGGCTGACGCCACCCCAGTTCTGCCCCAGGGTCTGTGGCCAGGTGAGCCGTTAGCAGCTGCTCCACCTCCCAGCTCAGTGACCCAGAGGGAAGAGAAGCTTCTGACAGCTCTGGGGAGACCACACCCCACGTGCTTTCCCCCGGCCAAAGCTGGCCTCTTGGGCGGGGCAGGCACATCATGATGTTGGTGCGTCCCAACATCCTTATTCCTGCTGTGGTATTGGTGAGGACGGACAGTGGCAGTAGGAACAGAGTTGAGGACCAGGAGGAGCCACCTCCCTTCTGGGGATGGGGCGGGACCAGAGTAAGCATCTCAGTCACCGAAGAGGAGCCAAGGCCCTGTGTGTGCCCCCAGGAGCAGCAGGCCAACACCAATCTGGCCAAGTATCGCAAGGCCCAGCATGAGCTGGACGATGCGGAGGAGCGGGCAGACATGGCAGAAACCCAGGCCAACAAGCTGCGGGCACGGACCCGGGATGCCCTGGGCCCCAAGGTGAGCGGTGGTGGGGGCACTGCCCTCGTTGCAGGGCAGGGTGTGGGGGATGACAGGTCGTACTGCTCACTCAGCCATCCCTCTCCCCTCAGCACAAGGAGTGACGGCCTAAGCCCGTGGGCTCTGAAGAGGGATGTCTGCTGTCATGCCTCCGGCCGAGGCCACCTGCCACGATCCTGCCATCTGTATTCCCTCTGCTTCCCTCCCTGAATAAATGCCACAGCTGCAACCAGTTTCCTTCTCATTCTTTGGGGTTCAGGAGGGGAAAAAAAGTCCTAGGGACAAAAGCCAGGTCCACAGCAATCATTTAAAATAAAGTTATTTAATAGTCTCCATTTAATTGGTTTATTTGCTGTTAATTGGCAACACAAGGAAGAGCCCCATGTCCAGGCTCAGGCAGGAGCTGCTGCCCTGTGCCCCAAGGGATGGAGGGAAAGGCCCCTCCACTTCTGTGAGAGCCCCCTGGGATGAACACAGCGGCCAATGAGCAAACAACCAGAGGAGCTAAAGGAAAATGAGGCAGGAAGGGCAGAGGGGCAGGCTTGGGGGAAGGCAGCATTCTCTGGTAACCCCCACCCCTGCCCAGGGCTCAGAAGCCTTTGCCTGGGTCTAAAGGCCAGGGATAAGGGAGGCTTGGCTCACAGACGAGGGGGGGTCACCCATATCTTCCTCCCCATCCCGGGACTGACAGCCAAGTAACCAGGCAGGAGCTCAGACAGAGCTAATGTTAAAAGTCCTCTTACCACTGTGTGGGCCTGGACCCCATGGTTCTGAAGGAAAGGTGGGCATGGTACCCCATCCTCTTTATGGGGACTGAGGCTCTCCGATGACCTGGGGCCCTGAGACCCAGGGGGACCAAGGGCTTCTAGGACTTCCCTCCCACCAAGCCTGTACCCAAAGACCTGGGGCAGGCAGAGAGCAGCAGGGAGGCACGGGGGCAGGGTGTGTGGCATTGTACCCACGCTCACCCACACTGGCCCAAGCTCACTCCTCAGTGAAATCCCTGTCTATGTCCATGTAGGGCTCCTCGATGTAGCTAACGAGGGCAGAGGGTGACTGGCGGTCCGGGTTCAACAGGATGGACACTGTCTCCTTCCAATATGAGAAGCTGATGCAGGAGCTCTGGGCAAAGAGGGAGGGGCTGAGGGGCGCCTGGAAGACCCAGGTCAAGCCCAGCACCGGGACACCCCTCTGAGAGGCCCCAGGTCCCACCCATCACCGCCTGGAGGGGTGAGGCACTCACGTTCTCTAGGCAGGTGCTGTCCTTGTCCTTGTGCAGGTAGTGCTGCTGCCAGAAGCGCAACAAGTTGTGGAAGTTGTTGAGCAGGAAGCCGGGGTACTTCTTGCTGTGCTCCATCCGCTGCAGCAGCCGCAGGTACAGGGGCAGCCGTTCTTTCCGTCGGGCCAACATCAGGATCACTAGGCTGGTGTTGAGGCAGCTGACGTTCTCCTGCAAGGCCATAGGCCCGCCAGGTCAGGGGCTGGTGGTAGCCCCAGGGGCCCTCAGTGAACCTGGGCAGCCACCAGGCAAGCAGGAGAGTGGCCCCAGGCTTCGGGCCACCCACAGAACTCTTCCCCACACAGATGTGAGACAGGACTGGGGGAAGGGGGCCCCAGCACCTGGCCTGAGCACCTTCCTGTTTGGCACACCCACCTCCCACCCTACCTGAGGGCAATGTATCCCAGTCCAGACCTCGGCTGAAGCATCACTTCCTCCGAAAGGTCCATCCCCAGGCAGGGCTGGGTCCATGAGTTAGGGGCGGTCATCCCCCTTCAGAAGTGCCATTCAGCACTAGCCTGTGCACCTTGGTGGGGAAGAGTTCTGCCCCACTCACCATGCACTCCCCACAGAGGGGGGCCTTACCTCAATATGGAACCAAAGACCACCTCTAAAAGGTGCTAGGATCACCCCCACTTTAGAAGAGGGGTGAGGCTCAGAGAAGGAAAGGCTGCATGACTGTTTGGTGTGGGAGCTGGGCAGCCTCAGGTCCTATTCCAAAGCTCAGCATGGCAGGAGGGGTGAGGGACATGGACATGGGGGAGGTGGGGAGAGTGCTCGCCTGGGAGTCAGCCTGGACCTGAAGGGACTTGCTAGCCCTCCTTAGGCCCCATCCATTCTATGGGGCACCGATTCCTCCCGAGGACACACCTCGCAAGACCTGGGTCCCCGGAGAGGCACTTCTGGAGTGAGGGTGGGAGACAGAAACCTGCTGGACTCCAGGACCAAAGAACTGGTTTCTAATCAACCTTCCCCGCTGGGACCTCTCACCTGGGTCAGCGTCTGCACATGGATGATGTTGATGAGGCGGAAGAGGAAGGACATCTGCGTGGGCACCTGGGCTATGTAGGCGAGCAGGCGGCACTCGGACAGGACTTCGGCAACTGCGGAGGGAGGTGAGGGTACGCAGCAGGTCAGGCTCAGGCTCAGTGGCTGGGCCGCCCAGGCCTCTAGTCAAGCCCCGCTTGGGTCCTGACTCTAAGGCTGGGTGCTCATCATCAAAACAGCTGCAATGAAAGCTGACTGCTGCAGGAAGAGGAACCTCCATCTGTCCTGCCACCAGGCAAAGCCCATGTTCTCAGAGCCCCCAGGAGTGCCCCACATCTCATCCTCCAGAACCAAGCTCAGGGCAGCTCTCCCTCAGCCCTCCCCGACCTGGCTCCAGGCTCCCTCTAGATCACACACAGGAGAGTTTCATTCTCAGGAAGATGAATCCATCATGCTACATTAAGAAAAACAATGGAAAAGTTCAATTCCTCCTGCAGAGCTCCTGGCGCAACTGGTTTTCCACACCAGCTCTCGGGTAAGTCTGGCCCAGGGCTGAGACCACAAGGCACAGGTTCTGCTCCATCCACTAGCATCAGAGCAAGTGCTTCCCACACAATCGGGAGGTGGGGCAACAGCCAAAGGTACCAAACTCTGTGTGGCTGTTCCCCTGAAACAGACCCTCTGGGGCAGAAAAAGGAGGCAAACAGCTAAATTACCAACCAGGATACTTCTTGCTATCAATGATGGTGACGGTGATAAGGAACAAATGCCTGGCTTTTTTTTTTTTTTTTGCGGGGGAGTCACAAACCCTCAAGAGAATCTGCTGGATGCCACAGGCCCTCTCCTAGGAAAAAAGGCACCCACAAGCACATACACACGGAAGTGCGTGGGCAAGTCCAGGTGAGTTCAGACGTTCACTGCACCACAGGGCACTGAGGATGAAGGAACCAATTCATCATGCCAGGCAATACCAGCCCGGAACAGGAAGGTCTTTTTCTGGTTTGTTTTTTGCATTTTGCTAGCAACAATGGTTTTTACCTTATTAAAGTGTTGTACCTGCTCATTAAAGGAAGCACGAACAACAGTGAAACGTCAAAGCAGCAAGGCGAATTGCCCTGGGAGCCACTACCTTGAGACGAGGCTGGCCACATGGGCGTCTGGTGCAGGCCCTCAGTCATTCTTGTCTCCCTGCTGGAGACAGGGTGTCTGATGCCACCACTCTCACCCTGCGTGACTTGCACTGACAGCCTGGCTTTCATGTACCTTTCATATCCACCTGGTTTTCAAATCGGTCCAGAGACAGAGTGACACAGCGCACCAGCATGTTGGAGTCCACCAGGGAACTGTTGATCTGCTTCAGGAACACCTGGAACTGCAGCAGAAACCAAGCTCATGGTGGGCGGTGGGCTGTGGGCTGCTGCCAGCGATGGCCACGGCCCAGGGGGACAGTCACTGCAAGGGGCATGAGCGACCTCCACCAGCCCTACTGCTTCAGATAGGAAGACAGAGGCTGAGACAAGCTTCGGGACCTGCCTCACTACCCCGGTACTAAAGGCACCCCTCGGAGTTCAGCACAGATCTGACACTCTGGCCAGTGGTTTCACACTGAAGGGTGCTAGACTCCACTAATTTTACTTCTGATCTTACTTCAGTCAGCCTGAACTGGGTTTCTGTCACACACACCCAGTAAGCCTAACACACTGGGGCCAGTCCCTCCCTCCAGCGGCTCCCACCGTGGCACCCATCATGCTGCATCACAGCAGGGGCACAACCCACCCATTCCCACCTTCAATCTCTACCCACAAGCAGCACCGGTTTTCAGCCCTGCATTCCCAGGGTCTAGCACAGTGCCAGGCAGAGCAAGTTCTGAGGAATGTCTGCCAAAGACTGCCCCTTCTGCCCTGTAGTCTCTGATTTAAAACCTGTGCCTGAAGACTGGCAGACCGGGACTCCCAGAAAACTTCTGGACAACGCAGCACACTCCACAGAGCCCTGGGTTAACATTACCTTTGCATCAGTGTTGATGTATTTATTGAATCTCTTGAATGCATCAACGTTGAACTTCATCAGCTCCCCCAGGAGGTCAAAGTAACTCTGGAGTACATCCCTTGACTTGCACTCGCTGTCCACAATGCAGTAAAGGATGTGCTGGGTGAGGAGAGAGAGGGTGACGCTGGGTGAGGAGGGAGAAAGTGAAGCTGCGAAAATACTGAGTTTTCATCCTGGTTCCGTCACCAGGATCCTTGTCCAAATTACTGTCTGAGGACGCTGGTAGCTCCAAGGACAGGATCAGGCCTGACAGACCTCATCAGGAAGCGGGGCAGACTGGGAATGTGGCACAATCTCTCCCCTGCTCAGGGCATACAGCTGAAGCCTGTGACCTGTTCTGTGGTCACCAAGATGGCAGGAAGCTCAGTTCCCAGGTGAGGGGAGCTGCTGTCACCAGGTCTAACATGGGCCACTGCCTACGCACTGAGGTCATTCAAGTAAATGAAGGACAGAATTTAAAAGCAAAGGACACATTCTGACCCCATGGCTTGTGTTTATTTATTTATTTATTTTTTTTTGGAGACAGAGTTTCGCTCTTGTTACCCAGGCTGGAGTGCAATGGCGCGATCTCGGCTCACCGCAACCTCCGCCTCCTGGGTTCAGGCAATTCTCCTGCCTCAGCCTCCTGAGTAGCTGGGATTACAGGCACGCGCCACCATGCCCAGCTAATTTTTTGTATTTTTAGTAGAGACAGGGTTTCCAGGATGGTCTCAATCTCTTGACCTTGTGATCCACCTGCCTCGGCCTCCCAAAGTGCTGGGATTACAGGCGTGAGCCACCGCGCCCGGCCCGGTTTGTGTTTATGAAGTTGTTTAAATAAAGTTAATACCAAAATAGTGAGTTTTCATCAAGAGAATAAATGCAATTTAACTCCTTTATAAAAAGTTTTCTACATTTTCTTGATGTTACACTGGTTTGGATCAATTCTTTTCCACATGGATTTTATAATTCATGGGTCAGTTTCTTGTCCATATTAAAAAAAATTGTTTTAAAGACTAATGATAACTTTGGCCATTTTGCTCTAAGTTTTACTTTTTCTGAAGACCATTATTCAATAAAGGAAAATTAACTTTTACTATCAAGATATCCTCAGAGTCAAAATGCCTTGCTGGGTAACTAAGCTCTCACCCTCCTGCATGGCCTGGCCACCTCCCAAATCTGTCAGCCCTTAAACACCCACGGGAAACCCACAGTTGGAAACCCAGGGCAAACACTAGGGCAGCCTGCACTGGCATTTACAAGTCGAAAGATTTGGTCTGCTCCTGATGAACTGTTTGGGGGTTAGGACGGACAGCAGTGCATGGGCTGGGAAGATGGAACCCAAGACCCTGGCTCCTCCAGACCATACCTCCAGGAGGCCCCGCTTCAGCAGGAACATCTGGTCTGCATAGGAAGTGGTCCCTCGGAGGAAACTCTCCACAGCCCGAGCTTGCCAAAACCTGCAAACCAAATACTGGCTTAGGTGGCTAAGGCTACCCTCTTCTGGCTCATGTTCAATTCCCCAAGGGGTTGGGACATGTTTGTTGCCTTTTCATGTACTCAACAGACATTTACTGAACATCTACCAAGCATTGGGCTTCATCCTGGGCCCGGGGACACAGAAGTGGCCCCATGCTCACAGATGTGCCAGCTCAGTGGAGAAGCCTATCTGGGTCTGTCTGGAAGGGGCTGTGTCACAGAGAAGGTGCCTTCTGGGACAGAAGGGCTGGCTTCTGCAAGTCCCACAAGAAAACAGACTCTAGGCTTTGCCCTTTCAGAAGAATGGGAGGATGTGCAACTGAGGGGCCAGGAATGTGTGAGGGAAGCTGACAGACACGTGCAGACAGGCCACTGGGCTCACAGACGATGGGCTGGCCTAGAGGAATGATGGCTAATGCTGACCGAGGGACCCAGAGGGCACAGCAGGGATCCATGACAGGGAGTTTGGACAGGGCACCGAAGTGACAAAGGCCCATGTAGGCATGAAGCCTCTGGACAGCTCACGCTCAGTCCTGATGGAAGTCCCCCTGTCCACGGGACCTCAAGCCTAATCTCAGATGTGTCTAAGGACCTCAGAGCAGGCCTCCCTGTACTCACCCTGCCCCTACCCCTAGCAGTGGAAGAGGCTTGCCTTTGTTCCTCCAACTCCCAGGCCAACCCTGGCTCCATTCCTTTCTACACTGCATTGAAATAGCACAGCTCTAGGGAATTCACGGCAGGGCCCGTATCCTAGTTCTGTCCCACCCATGCAGCACCAGCACAGAATAGGTGCTTGGGGAATGCTCGCTCACTGTGGGCTGCAGCAGAAGCTCCCATATACCTGCCAGTCAACACAGGGCAAGATGGCAGTCAAACTCTCTCTCTCCAGCAGAAACTGTGCTTCAGGAATGGACTCTGGTGACTAAAGGAGGTATTCCTAACCTCCTGAGAAACACCTCACTTGGGGCCCCGCAGAATTGGCAGGTACTTGTCCCCAGGCCCACCTGAAAGATGACTCTGCTGGCTCCTTCTTCATGACCTGCAGCAGACGAGTTAATAAGCCCCTCTTCCCATCACACACCAAACTCCTGAAATAGAAGAGAGAGACACTAGTGACAGATCCGAGGCTGCCAGGGGCTTATTATGTGTCCCCGGGCCCAGTGACCCAGCCCCAAGGCTTAGGTGGTGAAAAACTATAGGAACATTTCCAAGTCTGCAGGATGCCTCTCTGTACCAGCTGGGTCCGGAGCCCAGGAGACCCCTGAATTACAGCCACAGAATTACAACCACAAATGCACTCCCACCACATCTCAGACCAGCTTTCCCTCCCAGGCCAGAAACATATCCACAGTCAGACATGGCCCAGAACTGCCAGAGGAGGGCTGTTTATACCAAAAGTGTATTGAAACAGTCCACGACAGTCTGCCAAATGGGGCAAAGACTGTGCCAATAGGGTGGGGCCCAGCGTACTCCCTGCCCGAGGTTCACTTTCAGCTGGCCTTGGGCAAGTGCCCACAACTCCAGGCCTCAGCTTTCCAGTCTATGAAGCAAAGGCAAGAGATGAAGAAATAACTCAGGCCCCATCATGGGGGAAGGAAGAGGGCCAAGCAGGCAGGGGTCTGGGCCCTTCAAATAGAGCAGCTCTACTGTGATCCACTACAGACATCACGGCAGGACTAGGGATGATTTTATTTGAATGAAGCGTTCTGCTGCCTTAGAAAAAAAGGTTGGGAGGTAAGGAGTGGTGGCTCACACCTGTAATTCCAGGACTCTGGGAGGCTCACTTGAGGCCAGAAGTTCGAGACCAGCCTGGGCAACACAGTGAGACCCCATCTCTACAAAAAAAAAAAAAGTAAAAACACTAGCTGGGCATGGTGGCCCACACTTGTAGTCCCAGCTACTTGGAAGGCTGAGGAAGGAGGATCACTTGAGCCCAGAAGTTTGTGGCTGCAGTGAGCTATGACCACACCATTGCTCTGCAGCCTGAGGGACAGAGCAAGAACGTGTATCTAAAAAACGAAATAACAACAACAAAAAAATCAAAAAAGGTTGGGAAATTATAGCTGTTATTGGATAAAATCCACTGTACTATGATGCCTGTGCTACTGGCCCCCGTTGCCTGGCTCTAGAAGGTGAGGTGAATCTAACCCAGGTAACACTGCCTAACAGTCAGCAGCAGGTAACAGGCTTCTGCCCGCCCTGCTTGGCTGCAGATGTCACCAGGCAAGCAAGGAGCACATCAGCTTTTGCAAAGGTGCTGAATGCACAATACAAGGGAGGGCAGTGCGGAGCACACGTGACTTCTGGCAGGTGACCTCTCTGAGGCTCTGCTCCCTCACTGTAAAATGCAGGTACTGATGGGGCATTGCTCCCAGGGCTGCCGTGAGGCTCCAATGAGAAAATGCAGGTGACAGGAATACAACGCCTGGTACGTAAGAGCTACATGTGAGAGAGGACACGCATGCATGCCTGCCTGTGCTCACCTGTGAGCCCCCAGGGAATGTGGGCAGCCAGGACAGGCTGAGGGAAAAGCTGCACCGCCTGCACTCACCTGTCGGTGTTGAGGACAGCTTCCACCTCGGGGATGTTGGCCTTGAGAGAGATGGCACTGAGTTCGTTCAGCTCCTGGTTATTGAGTAACAGGTACTTGTTCCTGAAACAAAACGGGCTAGAGGTGGTAAAGGGCAGGAATTGAGGCTGCTGGGTCAGCACTGGGATACTGCAGGGTCTCCTGCCCACTTCCTGCGGAGAGAATCTGAGAAGCCACCAGGCACTTTCCTCCAGCACCTCTCACTCCATCCAGCACTCGCAGGAGGGAACTCTGGGCTCTTAGGCTGTGGAATCTCTCCCCGCCTCCAACCCCCAACCTCTGCCTGCCATATTCAGTGACAAGGCCCCTTCCTTCAGTAGCTCTGGGCCTTTCTCTTTGCCCACATTTCTGCTTGTTTTCCCAAAGGCACCAGCACCTCAACATGTCCAATCATACTCAAGCCTGGCCCTGCTGCAGCCGTCCCACCAGCCACCAGTCACACATCACATAGAGGCCTGGTCAACTGTTTGACACCCCCTGACACTGACACCCAGCTTGCCATCCAGGCCTGTCACTGCTGGGTCCTGTGCTCCCGGGACACTAGCTCCCTAAAAGATATCCCACTGGAACTGAGTTATCACACAGGGTCCAAATTGATCCTCAGAATCTGGACTCTGATCCTGTCACTCCTGGTGAAAATACTTCCACAGCTTCTCACTGTGTTTAAAACATAGGCATTTTCTGGCTAGGAGGGGGTTATATCCCGATAAACCCATCATATTTGAAAACACTGTTAAGTTGAAAACACATTTAGACCGGGCATGGTGGCTCACGCCTATAATCCCAGCACTTTGGAAAGCCAAGGTGGGCGGATCACAAGGTCAGGAGTTCGAGACCAGGGGACATGGTGAAACCCCGCTTCTACTAAAAACATAAAAAATTAGCTGGGCATAGTGGTGCATGCCTGTAATCCCCGCTACTCGGGAGGGTAAGGTAGGAGAATCACTTGAACATGGAAGGTGGAGGTCGCAGTGAGCCAAGATCGCGCCACTGCATTCCAGCCTGGGAAACAGAACAAGACTCCATCTTGGAAAACAACAACAAGAAAACCCATTTAATATAGCTAACCTACTGAACCTCATAGCTTAGCCCAGCCTACCTGGAATGTGCTCAGAACAATGACAGCCTACATTTGGTCATCATCACTGGCAACATGGCAGGCACAGTGCAGAGTACTGGCTGTCTATCTTGGTGACCACATAAACTGTATTGTTAGCCCAGGAAAAGATCAAAATTCAAAATTCTACTTTTGTACCATTGTAAAGTTGAAAAACCCTAAGTGATGAACTGTCTGTATATAAAATCCAGGCCTGTGAATGTGACCCACAAATCCCTATGTAGCCCAGCCCAGTGCAAAGCCCACATCACTCCCATCTGCTGGCCACACTGGTCCTCCCTCACTCAGGGACTTCTGGCTAGAACATTCACCCTCTCACATGCCTGTTCATTCAATTCACTAGAAGCTGGCCCTTAGGTCTTGGCGCTAACAAGCCACTTCTGGAGGAGAGAGTGCCTGAGTGTCCTCTGGCCAGTTCTGGACCCTGTCAAATGTCCTCTTACAGACCCCGCTCCTCTCTTCCTGGATACCATCTCCACTTGCCACTCATGCTCAGCAGTGGAATCCTCTGATAAATGATTGTCTCTGTTTCAGACCTTGCCCTTCATGAGAGCAGGGACCATGGCTGTTGGTATTCACCCTGACATTCCACAGAGTACTCAGATTGAAGAGTCTGATGAAAGTCAGAGACTTACTTCCTCAGGCAAAACTGTGCCGTTCCATAACATACGTGGTGCCATTTTTCAGAAGGTCAACATACTTCCTGGAGCCCTTCTTTGGCTGTTAGCCAGAAAAATCCTCAAAGAGGACGGTTACATATGATGGAGGTGCCCTGGGCCACAGCTGTCTCTAGGCATGTTCCATTAGCTCCAATGCAAGTTAAAAATTTCAACCAACATTTAAAAATCAGGACCTTTCACAAAAATCTTCATTTCTGGCTTTCCTTGACAGAAAAAAATCAAAGTTATGCAACAGTGAGCCCAGTTTCCTGTGCACATGCAGCTAGCTGGAGCCGAGCTCATAAAATTCTGGCTCCCTAAGATGATGTCCCCACATCATCTCCCCAATGCCAAGGTCAAGGATCAGCTTCTAGTCAGCCCCTTCCTGCATGCCAGTCACTTCCTGCACTGTTTTCCTTACAGCAGAGAGTAATTTTCCTTGTACATTCTCCATTGAAGGTTAAAAAATAAATGAGGGCAGAAATGTATTTAAAGAAAAATGAAAGGGAGCACACATTCTTGTGGAGGGAAGAATCCCCCATCTGCTCAATAAACAGTCAGCTGGCTCTGCCTGTCTGAGGTTCCTACTGGCCCTTGGGAATAGCCACGCTGTCCACTCTTGCTTCAGAGGGGCAGTTGGCTGAAAGATCCATTGATTCCAAAGGTAATAAGGGGCCAATGACTTTCATATTCACTTCTTGGGGTGGCTGGGAGGGTTAAAAGAAAGCTCAGAGGCAGTACCTGCCCTAAGGAAAGTTGGACAGATGGCAGCTCCTACTTCAGCGTCACACCTGCTAACACAGAGGGGACAGTAGGCTTCCACCACCTCCAGCGACGCCTCTCATACTGAGGCCACGGACCAGACAAAAAGATCAAGGCCTTCAGAAGACAGCCCAGTGACTCTCCTTGCACACACTTGTACTTACTCATGGTGGTCGCTGAAGCTCTGAAGAAGCCTCAAAAACTGTATCTTCAAGGTGATGTCCTGAAACACATAAACAGCCTCAATGTTAAAACCACAGTCACAAGGCTCCAAAATAAAACAAGCAGACACTCTGGTGGGAGCCTGCTTCTCTGACCCTCCGGTCCTCAGGCACCATGAGGACTTTGCTTTAGTTAGAAAACCATCTGTTCACGTCCACATCTGATCAACAGTAGATTCAGCTAATGTGGCCCCCTTCCTGCTAAAAACATGCCAGCATGATCAATGAAAAATAAGGCTGAGCATGGTGGCTTACACCTGTAATCCCAGCACTTTGGGAGGCCGAGGTGGGCAGACTGCTTGAGGTCAGGAGCTTGAGATCAGCCTGGGCAACATGGCAAATCCTGTCTCTACTAAAAATACAAAAATCAGCCAGGCATGGTTACCACGCGTGCAATTCTGGCTACTTGGGAGGCTGAGGTGGGAGAATCAGTTGAACCTGGGAAGCAGGGGTTGCAGTAAGCGGATATCGCACCACTGACTGCACGCCAGCCTGGGTGATGGAGACACTGTCTCAAAAAACAAAAACAAACAACTCCCCCCTACCCCACTAACAAAAACAGGTGTGGGGAGGAGGTGGGGAAGTCCATAGGAATCAAAAATGAAGAAATGACTGAGGAGTTTGGAGTAGTGAGCCAAGGAGCTGATACTCAGCAGCTGTGGGCAGTGGTGAGGTGGAGACAACACTAAGGCTTGGGTTCTAATGCCCAGCAGGGACCAGACAGGGTCTCAAGTCCCTGTAAGGCCTGGGGAACAAGTATACTTGGTGAGAGAAGGGTTAGAAAGGCCTGACCCACCAGCCCAGGGAACTGGCAAAGAAGTCTGGCTCTGCCAGGGTGCTGCTGGCAGGTGAAGGGGGCCTTCCAAGAGCAGCAAAAACCCTGGGCTCACATACTGGGGCAGTAGGGCCAAGACAATAAATATGAAAACTGGCTGTGGGACAGCTGTACCCCTGACATATTTGGCAGACAAAAGCAAAAGTGCCCTGTAGAAATGCCTCCTGGGCTGAGGCTACACAGGTGCCCACAGGGAAAACTAGCCCCACTGAAGGCGGCCTCTCCACAGACATTACAGAACACAAGGCAGCACTCCAACCTGGGGTCTGAAGACCCAAACAAAAGCATTAGTACCCCATGAGCAATCGAAAGAGACCTTAAGAAAAGTATTTTAAAAATGATTAAAGACAGAATATGCAACAGAATAAAGATATTAACATCATGGCCAAGCAGTTTCTGAATTGAGCCAGACAGAACATCTAGAAATGCAAAATACATTTGCTTGAAATTAAACACTCAAATGATAAAGTAGAAGACAGGTCACTGAGGGAAGTCCCCAGAGTGCAGTGAAGAGATCAGCGGTCCCCATGGCAGTGGGCTCTGATGGCTGTGTAGCACTTTTAGGTCCAGAGCACTTTCCTTCTCCTGCTGGTAGGCAGACTGCCGACTAGCCTGGGGGGCCAGTAGGGGAAAGAGTATTATCCTCCTTTCCCAAGAAAACAGAGGCTCAGAGATTCAGTGATTCATTCAAGCTCTTCCAACAAGCCTTCCAATGTACAGTTCAGAGCTCTCTCAAGGGGACTGTGACAGACACAAGGAAAAGGAGAGATCTTGGGCTCAAAAAACCAAAGCAACCAAAACCCCTTTTTTGTGTGTGAGACAGACTCTTTGCTCTGTCACTCAGGCTGGGGTGCAGTGGCTTGACCGCCGCTCACTGCGAACTCCACCTCTCAGGTTCAAGCGATTCTCCCACCTCAGCCTCCCAAGTAGCTGGGATTACAGGCATGCACCACTACACCCGGATAATTTTTGTATTTTTAGTAGAGATGGGGTTTCACCATGTTGGTCAAGCTGGTCTCTAACTCCCGACCTCAAGTGATCTGCTCACCTCAGCCTCTCAAAGTGCTGGGATTACAGGTGTGAACCACTACACCTGGCCCAAAGCCCTTTTTTGATGGGGACCATTGGTGGAGTATGGTCCTATTGGTGGCTGAAAATTACAGGAGGATAAAATGGCAAATAAAGAAAAGCATGCTGGTGGCTCATGTAGTGGGCAGCCCCCTGCCTGCAGTGAAATGAGATCCCCATCACAGAGATGTACAGGGGGAAGCTGGCTAGAGGGCCCCAGGCAGGATCTTTTTTTTTTTCTTTTTTTTGGAGGCACAGTCTCACTCTGCTGCCCAGGCTGGAGTGCAGTGGTGTGATTCTAGCTCACTGCAACCTCCACTTCCTGGGTTCAAGCAATTCTAGTGCCTCACCTTCCTGAAGAGTTGGGATTACAGGCACCCAACACCACATCAGCTAATTTTTATATTTTCAGTGAGAGACGCAAGTATCTCTTACACTAGTGAGACGGGGTTTCCCCATGCTGGCCAGGCTGGCCTCGAACTCTTGACCTCAAGTGATCTGCCCGCTTTAGCCTCCCAAAGTGCTGAGATTACAGGTGTCAGTTACCGTGCCCGGCCTAGGAACATCTTAAAAGGGATTTCTGCACAGGTTAGGGTGGGGAGTGGGGCTCACTCAGATCCTACTCCAAGGTACCTTCCAATTAGGGGACTATAAAATATGACTTTTAGTTTCTGCTCTACTCCCAAAGGAAAAAAGGTCAAAGGGTCAGCAGAAGGTCTTGAAACAACTACTCCAAGCAAGTGAGGCCCCATGTGTCCCCAGGGGCCTCCTGCTTACCGGGCTACAGTCACAGTTCTGGTTGTGACCATGAAGGACAAGGGAAGATGCTGAATGCTTCCTCCAAATCAGCTTGTCAAACAAATTATTGAGTCCGGGAATCAGTTTGAACTCTGCAATCATTCTGTGAACCTGGATGGAATAGGAAGGGAAAAGTATGAAGACAAATGTGCTCGAAAGATCTAGCAAAACCTCGTGCTCAGCACACACGGTAACAATAATCAGGACGAAGGCAGCCATCAGTAGGGGTGCCACGGTTTGAAGAAAACATCCGTCTATTCCCTACACCCACACACACTTTTAACTTTGCTCATGAATGTTCACAATGATCCTACAAGTCCTAACATACGGCAGGTCCTATCATAGGAGCTTGAGTTTGGGATGCAGATAGTCCTGCATGAGATTCAACAGTCCTAGGTTTGACTCTTAGCTTTACCATGTGCAAACTTTGTAACCTTAAACAAATTCCTTAAGATTTGCCTCCTCCTATCAACATGAAAACGTCCCTGATATTTTGCACTAGGATACATTTCGGCTGAAAGATATAATTATTCAAAAGTAAAACTCTTAAAATCTAGAAAAATCTCTGCAAAAAATTTAAAAAAATGATTTAAGAGTTGGAAAAGCCTTTCTGAAGGATTATACTAAACCTAGAAGCTCAAAAAGAAGCTTGTTGACATCAACCACCCAAACCTTTTAACATTCTGCACAGCAAAACTCAAAATAAGCAAAGTCACAAGCCAAATATGACAAACACAGAACATACGTTGGCAATTCATGCCACAGGAAAAGAAATTCCTGTGTAAGGAGTCCTACAAACTTCTCTGATTTTTTCACCTTTTCAGACTGGCAAAGATAACAAAACTTTTTAAGACTGTTGGTGACTTGGGCATCAGGCACATTTACATGCTGTTGGTGGGAGGGCACATTGGTACCACCTGCACAGGGAAGATGGTTTGGCAGTATCTCTAAAATCGTAAATCCATAATCCCTTTAACCAGCAATTCCACTTTAGGAATTTATTGTCAGACAGATCCATATAAATACTGGATGACATATATTTACAACGCTACTCACTACAACATCATTTGTAATGTGCCAAAACAGACATAACCTACACTTCCATCAAAGGGGATTAATGAAATAAATTATGGTATGCCACTCAATGGGATACAAGGCACCAGTAAAAAAGAATCAAAGTGTTTTTTCACGTTGTGAACTAAACAACTGCCAAGAGATAGTACTGGGAAACCAAGTGTGTTTATGCTACATTACTGATCATGTTAAAAAAAAAAGAGGAATATAATTTGCCTCTGTCAGCATAAAATATCTCTAGAATGATACACTAATAACTGGTAAAACTATCTGCTTCATGGAACCATTAGAATGTCAAGGATCAGAGGTGAGAGAGGCTTCACTGATACTAATTTATATCTTTTAAAACAGAACTACAGGAGTGATTTCCCTATTAAAATGTGTTTCTATAACAGAAAGCTATTACTAGCCCTTCTTGGGGCTGTTATAAGGATCAAGTCAGAAAGCAGACGCAAAGCTCAGCACACAGCACCAATGCTCCATTACTGTCATTTTACAACGGGGAGGAGAAGTTCAGCAAGACCAGCCTGGGCAAGGTCAGTGACTACAACAGCACCTAATTCAGGTGTTCTGATCCTAAGTATTCTCCTTTCTAGCCCACTACAGGTATGCATTTATCTTGGGAGACCAGAACCTGACAAAGACAACCCTGGCAGCCTCCATTCTCATGGATCTCTTCTTTCAACATATTAGGTTGGTGTAGAAATAATTGCAGTTTCTGCCACTGAAAGTAACGGAGGTAACTATTCTCTTCCTAATGGAAATCACAGCCTCTGGCCAGTATTAGACACGTAAGCAGCCCAGAATCTGTCAGCCTGAGGCCGATGTAAAATGACACCTGCTCTGCCACTCAGGCCTTTACTAAAACCCAGCCTGGGTCTACCTTGCCCTGCTTAACTAGGAGTGGGGAAGTATGATTGGCATCTATGGTGTTCACCAAGCCCTGTGCCTTCCTGTCACACTCCAAAGAGCCCTAAGCCAGGCCTAGGTCACATAGCTATAAAACGTTGCTGCAATGGTCCAAAAATTTCATCCAGTGCAATTTCCTCACTGCACAGGCTAGAAACCCAGCTTAAAGAGATTAGGGGTGAGTCACAAGCTGGGAAGAGAAGGGCCTTCTGAGGCAGACTTGGACTTGACCCTGGGTCTTCTAAAGTCCAGGCTAGTGCTTGGGTTTGAGGTTTCTATTACATTATTTCCCTTTTCTCTTGACAATACCAGCTTCTTGGCTGGGCATGGTGGCTCACACCTATAATCCCAGCACACTGGGTGGCCAAGGCGGGCAGATTATCTGAGCTCAGGAGTTTGAAACTAGCCTGGGCAACATGGTGAAACCCTGTATCAACTAAAAATACAAAAAATTAGCCAGGCATGGTGGAGTGTGCCTGTAATCCCACCTACTTGGAGGGCTGAGGCAAGAGGATTGCTTGAGCCTGCGAGGCAGAGGTTGCAGTGAGCTGAGATCGTGCCACTGCATCACTCTAGCCTAGGTGGCAAAACAAGACTGTCTCAGAAAAAAAGGAAAAAAAAAAATCAGCTTCTTCACCTGTAAAATTTGTAAGACAAATTTTACTTGAAGAATGCATTATTCCTACTCTCAGGTCCGGTCCCATAGCCTGCTCTATAGCGGGTTGCTGGGCAGGTGGGCAAGTTGAAGCACCACTCTTCCTGAGGCAGCAGCGGGTAAGAGCTCAGGCTTTGCAGTCAGCCAGCCTGGGGTTCACAAGATAGCTCTGTGACCCTGAGCAACATCCTTTGAGCCTGAGTCCCTTGACAGAAAAGACGATGGGGGACAATGGAGCTGCTGAAAAGGCTCAATGAAGTAATGTGGAAACTACTCAGGGCACTAAAAGAAACGACTGCTACATGGCTGATTTTCATTAGCACCAGAGGGATGAAACTTGACAGCATTTGGGGAGACTTTCCAGTCTTGAGATTTCAATTTCAAGAATGGTCAAAGAACTTGGCCCAACTGCCCATTAACAAGAAGGCCACTTTAAGGAGGAAGCCTTCTGTGAGGCCTCGCCAAGGAAACTCTTTCCCTTGCTACCCAGTGTAGGCAGGATCTGGGAACCTGGGTCCTCACGGTGCCCAGCACACAGCAGAAACTCAGAAAAGGCTGACTGTGCAAATGAGAACATGCTGGTGAAACAGTGGTTTTCAGGGGGCAGGATTTCAAGGTCACTAATGGTCCCTTCCCAAGGAGGCGGCACTGTAATCATGTAGTTTAACTCCAGACCGTAACAACTCACAGCAACTTGGCAATAAGGAGGCCCGGGGAACAGGGAACTGCTGTGAGAGGGCAGAAAGAGGAGACAGGGCAGCAGAGTTTAAATGCTGGCTCTATTCAGGTCTGTCCCCCGAGAGCACAACCTATTTTGCCCCGGCTTTCTCAAGAATCAAGTGTGGTGACACAGACTCACCGACTCACTACCTGTTGTGTAACTTACTAAATGCCTGAACATTCAAATACAAGTAAATGTGAAAGTACCTCGAAAAAGTAATAGCACTCAACACACAGAATTACTGTCCCTACAATTATTTCAAATATAAGTAACTGTGAAAGTGCCCCAAAAAAGTAACAGCGCTCAACGCATAGAAGCTGTCCCTACAAGAATATTTTTTATAAAAAACATGTTCCGTATTGAAGGAAGGGACACCAATGCTGTGGCTATCAGTGTGGGATCTTATTCAGGGTCCTGTTTTAAATATAACCACATGTTGAGGACTCCCAAAGTGACACCTCCAGCCTTGCCATCTCCCCAACACCAGCTGTAGGTAATCAATCTAACTGCCAATTTTAAGAGACACCCTGAATCTACCTTGTACGAAATGGAACTCCCCATCTTCCTCCCTAAGCCTGCTCCTCCACCCCTTACCTGAAAGCGTTAACCATCTCAACACATGGCAAATCCATTTTCTCAGTTATTTGGGCAAAAAACCTCGGGAGTCACCCTTAACTCCTTTCCTCACTCTTATGTTCACATCCAAACCATCAGCAAATCCTATCTTTTAAAATGTATCCAGAATGCAAGCATCTCCCACCAGTCCCACCAACAAAGTGCTGGTCCTAGCTGCTATCATCTCTTGGCCCTATTATGAGAGCCCCTGATGGTTGTCCTATTCCCTTCCTTGCTGGTTCCAGTCTTTCCCAGAGCAGTCAGAGGGATGATTTCTCACTTCACTCAGAGAAAAAACCAAAGTCTTTAAAATGGCCTCTGGCAGCTTGACGTGACCTGGCCCCTGCGAGCCCTCAGCCCTCCTCTCCCCTGGCTGCTTGCTCCAGGTCGCCCCCTAGCGGCCTCACTGTTCCACCGACTGCGCATACTCCTCCCCAGGGCACTGCCCCTTCCCATCTGGTAGGCTCCTTCCTCCTCTTCTGGACATTTTCATCCTCACTTGTAAAATACAGGTAACTTGCACCTCTGTCACCCAGACTTGTGATAGTCCAGTGTCTGACTCAGAAAGGTGTGGAAGGACTGCTGAACCCCCAGCCTCTCCTCCCTGAGATGCCTGGTTTCCCTCCTAGGAGAAGGGCGTAGTCTGCAGAAAAAGGCTACTTTTCAACAGTCTTGGGCAGGCGGGCCACACTCTTCCAGGCCTTTCTCCCACTGTAGGTTATGGGCCCTTCCTCCCCGATCTTGGAACTACTTCAAGGCTCAGGGAAGCCCTGCACATCTGGAGCCCCCGTACTTGCCCCATTTTCATAAGCAGACAGAGCTCTGGGCTCTGTCCCACCACCTTGAGCCCACAGGAGGTTGGCAAGGCCTCCAGCACATCCACAGGGCCAGTCTTGCCAGTCTTCAACCCTTTAGTCTTCATATCACAGAGGCAAGCTGCCTGCTCCTGCCCTGAGCACCAACCAGTACTGCCTCTAGACATGCTCCACACAGTAAGGCACAGTGGAAAGACTCCATTTCTGCAATCAGCCTGGTTTCCTTATGAGTAGAACGGAAGGAGGAATACCCCTATGCTTTGCCAGGCTAGAGTGAAAGCCATTCCACAGAAGGCCCAGTGGAGCACCAGGCATACCATTAGCACCCAAGCAGCACCTGCTCCCCATGTCCTGAGACCTTGGAGAGGGGCCCACCTGGTTTCGTTGACGCCCCATCAGCAGCACGCAGAGGACATAGAGCACTTCCAGTTTGTACATGATCTCATGCATAATCTTCATTGACTGGGGCAGCTGGGTCCTGGCTGACGTGTGAGGCAGGCCATTCTCCTCAGAAGCCCCTGGAGGAGGGAACACAATGGAGGCTGACACAGCCACCAGAGAGAAGATTGAGTCATGGCTTGTGAGGAAACACATTTCTACCCCTCAAACCTGCTCTGAACAGACTTGAGGTAACACAGCCATTCAGCTAGGCCTTGAGCCTAAAACAGAGGCTCTAAAAGCTACAAAACTCCCTCCAAACCCCAAGGAGCCAGGCAAGCTCAGGGACTCGGAAAAATGGACTCTGCAGTAGCTGCGTCTCATCAACTTTAACATAAAGTAAAAATATTCAGACACAGTAACACAGTTACATGACCCATCCCTCCCTGCTTATCCCCTCCTCCTGCCACCAGCCAGACCCCCCAGAAAGTACCCAGGCAGATGTCTGACAGCAAATTCTGTGGAACTCTCTTCAAGTCGCAAATGGCTCTACTTACTTGGTTCTTCTGCTGAGATTCCATGAGGGAACACTGCTGAAGCCTGAGAGGGATCCCTTTTGAAGAATCCCCCCCACCACCACCCCATTTTTTAAAAGAAGAACCATCCAAATTTTTCTAAAGGTTCAACTTTCTAAAGCAGACTGGGTATCATAACTGATGCTACTGATGCAGATGAACAGATATCTACAGGCAGATTACCATTTTAATCAATGTCATTACTGCTAACATCAACAGCAACTAATATTTATGGGACGCTTGTGTGTCAGACTTGCTGGCTTTGTAACTGTGGGAAAGTCACCTCCTCACTAGGCCTTAGACTGCTCTGTATTACTGCAGCAGACAGCTAGGGTTATAACCTGTGAGGATTCAATGGGAACAAAAGAGAAGCCCAGCATCTGATTCTTAGGAAGCCCCCAGTCTCACTCTGTCACCCAGGCTGGAGTGCAGTGGTGCGACCTCAGCACCGTGCAACCTCTGCCTCCTGGGTTCAAGCGATTCTCCTGCCTCAGCCTCCCAATTTGCTGGGATTACAGGCACATGCCACCACACCTGGCTAATTTTTCTATTTGTAATAGAGACGTAGTTTCACCATATTGGCCAGGCTGGTCTCAAACTCCTGACCTCAAGTGATCGGCCTGCCTCGGCCTCCCAAAGTGCTGGGATTACAGGTATGAGCTACCGTACCTGGCCTAGATCCCTATTATATTAAGAGGGCACTGGTCAGAGTCAGGAGAGGCTAGGTGATCTTAGCAGAGTGACTTCCCTTGTTTCCTCATCTTTAAGGTGAAAGGATGAATAAGTAACTGTCAAGGTCCTCTCAAGCTCCTACAGAAACTGTTTCCCTAGTAGCCTTTGCAAAGGCCTCTATGTTCAGGTAAGGCTCATACAGAAGACACAGTGATACTCTGCAAAGTATTAAGACGGAAAAACCTAACCTATTCCGGCCAGGTGTGGTGGCTCATGCCTACAATCCCAGCACCTGGGGAGGCCAAAGTGGGTGGATTGCTTGAACCCAGGAGTTTGAGACCAGTTGGACAACACAGTGAGACCTCATCTCTACAAAAAACTATTAAAAAGTAGCTGGGCATGGTGGCATGCACCTGTGGTCCCAGCTATTCAAGAGGCAGAGGTGGGAGGAGGACTGCTTGAGCCTAGAAGGTGAAGGTTGCAGTGAACCAACAGAGATCATGACACTGCACTTCAGCCTGAGCAACAGAGCCAGACCCTGTCGCAAAAAGAGAGAGAGAGAGAATCTAACTGATTTTATCCTACAGACTTGGAACTGTTTTTCCCAGCCATGTTAAAATCACGACCCTAGAAGACGACAAGCTGCTGAATGAGATGTGACTGAGACACAGCATTGCACAGTAGTTAAGAGCACAGATACTGAAGCCAGACTACTGGGTTTGAATACCATTCACTAGCTGGGTGGTCTTCAGTAAATCAGCTGCTTCAGTATCCATCCGCTTTTGCTAAACAGCAATAATGACACACACACTTACCCCTTAATGCTGTAGGGAGCAGAGGAATATACTGAAGATGCCTGGAGCAACGCCCCACACAAGTAAGCAACATATAAACCAAATAGAAGTTAAGTTCTCAGAAAACAGTTTTTCTGTTAATGCTTGCTACTTTATTTTCTTCTTTTTGATCTCTAAGCTTTTAATGAGAACTAAAGTGGCAGGAGGCAAAGACTCAGGAAAAATTTACTGGAGAAATTTTTAATTTAAGAGATTCTATCTACTCATATTTATTCTCCTGTACCTTGGGCAGAAAACCACAGTTACTCAATTTCCATGTTAGGACTCCTTGGCCCAGCTCCCAGAACAGTTAAGTGTCAACTAATCTGTGAAGTGAACCTGAAGGACTATCATGCAGAATCCTGCCTATGTTGTGCACTGCTGTGTGACCTTGCGTGCTTGGCACCCTCGGCACCCGGCCTTTGGTGCTCTAGGGAGTCCTGCAGGAAGGATGTTTATGGAAGCAGTGGGCACAGCGTGCTGCACACAAGTCCTACTCAGAAATGAATGTCTGGGAAGAAAGAGACGGGGCAGCTTGACGCCTCTCCAAGTCACCACCAACTTTTGGTGCCTGGCTTGCACAGACCTGACAGATTGTCTGGGATAAATATTTTCAAGAAACAGTCTCCAAAGCAATGGCCAGAGCTTAGCAACAACGTCAGTCCCAAGGATGAGGATGGAAAACCAGCCTGTGCTTCCTTCTAAGTCTCTTGGGTCTGCTGTACTGACTAGAGCGGTCACCACTCTGTCTGCACTGCACTCCATTTTCTGTGGCCATGCACATTCACATTTTTTTTTAAAACAGCTTTGGGCTACAATGTACATACTATGCAATTCATCCATTTAATTAACCATGAAACTGTGATTTTTTTTTTTTAAGATAGTTACAGAGTAGTTACACAGCCATTACCACAGTCAATTTTACAATATCTTCATCACCCCCAAAAAGGAGCCTTGGACTTGTTACCAGTCACTTCGTATTTCCCACCAAACCCCTTTGCTCTAGGCAACCATGAAACTATTTTCCGTCTCTATGCAACTGCCTATTCAGGACACTTCATATTAATGAACTCATACAATAAGTGGTCTTTCGTGACTGCTTCTTTCACCTAGCACAATGTTTTCAAGGTTTACCAATGTTGTAGTACGTATCTATATTCCATTTTTTTATTGCTGAATAATACCCTCTAATATGAATATATCACATACTGGCTTGGTACAGTGGCTCATGCCTGTAATTCCAGCATTTTGGGAGGCCAAGGTGGGAGGATCATTTGAGCCCAGGAGTTTGAGCCCAGCTTGGGTAATATCGCAAGACCTTGTCTCTACAAAAAAAAAAAATATTAGCTGGGCGTGGTGGCATGCACCTGTGTTTTCAGCTACTCGGGAGGCTGAGGTGGGAGGACAGCTGTGCCTGGGAGGTGGAGGCTGCAATGAGCTGTGATCACACCACTGCACTCTAGCCTGGGCGACAGAGCAAGAAGAACCTGTCTCAAAAAAAAAGTATACCATATCCTGTTTATTCATTAATCAGCTGATAGTCATTTGGGTTATTTCCATAGTTTGGCTATTATGAATATGCTGTGATGAACATTCCTGAACAAGTTTTTGTATATTTTCATTTCTCTTGGCTGTATTCCTGGGAGTAGGATTCTGGGCCCTATGACGTAACAGCATGTTTAAGCTTTTGAGGAACTGATAGACTATTTCCTAAAGTGGCTTCACTATTTTACATGCCCACTAATAGTGAATGAGGGTTCTGATTTCTCCATATTCTTGCCCACCCTTATTATCCACCTTTTTTGATGATAACCATTCTAGTGAGTCTGAAATAGTATATCACTGTGGGTTTTTTTTGTTTTTCCTCTATCACCTAGTGGCAGGATCATAGCTCACTGCAGCCTTCAACTCTGGGCCCAAACAATCCTCCCACCTCACCCTCCCAAGTTGAAGTTGCCAGGACTATGGGCATGTGCCACCATGCCTGGCTAACCAAAAAACATTTTTTTTTGTAGAGATGAGGTCTTGCTCTGTTGTTCAAGCTGGTCTTGAACAATCCTCCTGCCTCGGCCTCCCAAAGTGTTGGGATTACAGGTGAGAGCCACCGTGCCTGGTCTCACTGTGGTTTTGATTTGCATTTCTCTGATGTTGAACATTTTTCACCTGCTTACTAATTATTTGTATATCTTCTGTGGAGAAATGTCTATTCAGATCCTTTGTCTATATTTTGAAATGGGTTGTCTTTTTGAGTTACGGGAGTTCTTTATAAGTTCTAGATACAAATCCCTTCTTAGATATACGGTTTGCAAAAATGTCCCACTCTGCCTTCCCCACAAAAAATGTTCTTCCATTCTGTGGGTTCTCTTTTCAGTTTCCTGATGGTGTTTTCTGAGGCACAAAATTTTAATTTTGATGAAGTCCAATTTATTATTTATCTGGTTGCTTGTGCTTCAGATGTCATGTGTATGACATCTAAATTGTCAAATCCAAGGTCATGAAGTTTTATCCTTATATTTCTTTCTAAGGGTTTTATAGGTTTAGCTCTTACATTTAGGTCTTTGACTCTTTTAATTTTGTGTATCATGTGAGGCAGGGGATCTAACTTCATTCTTTTGCATGTGGACAGCAAATGGTCCCAGTACTATTTGTTGAAAAGCCTACTGTTTCTGCCACTGAATGGTCTTGGTATCTGTAGAAGATCGGTTGATCATAATAAGCATGAGGGTTTATTTCTGAACTCTCAAAAACATTCCATTGATCACTATGTCTGTCCTCAGGCCAGCAGCACAGTGTCTTGATTGCAGCTTTGTGGTCAGTTTTTGAATCAGAAAGTGAGTTCTCTTAGGTGTTTTGTTTTTTCTGGGACACAGTCTTACTGTCACCCAGGCTGAAGTGCAGTGGCACTGTCACAGGTTACTGCAGCCTCAAACTCCTGGGTTCAAGCTACCCTCCCACCTCAGCCTCGTGAGTAGCTGGGTCTATAGGTGGGTGCCACCATGCTTGACTTTTTTTTCTTTTTGGAGACGGAGTCTCATCCTGTCATCCAGGCTGGAGTGCAATGCGTGATCTCGGCTCACTGCAAACTCTGCCTCCTGGGTTCAAACAATTCTCCTGCCTCAGCCTGCCAAGTAGCAGGTGGCACACGCCACCACGTCCAGTTAATTTTTTATCTTTAGTAGAGACAGGGTTTCACCATGCTGGTCAGACTTGGTCTCGAACTTCTGACCTCATGATCTGCCCGCCTCAGCCTCCCAAAGTGCTGGGATTACAGGCATGAGCCACCATGCCCAGCCCAAATTTTTAAATTTTTTGTAGAGACAGGGGTTTCATGATGTTACTTAGGCTAGTCTTAAACTCCTGAGGCCAAGCGATCCTCCTGCCTCAGCCTCCCAAGTGCTGGGATTATAGGCATGAGCCACTGCACCCAGCCCATTTTTCAAAACCGTTTTTGTTAATCTGAGTCTCCTGCATTTCCATATGAATTTTAGGATCAACTAGTCCATTTCTGCAAAGTAGTCAGAGATTTCTGACAGAAAATGTGTTGGATCTGTAGGGCCGATCTGTAGATTGGAATGGGAATACTGCTACCTTAATATTAATCTTCTGGTTCAAAGACATGGGATGTCTTTACATTTATTTAGGGTTTAATTCCTTTCAATGATGTTTTGGAATTTTCAGAGTATAAGTTTTACACTTGTTAAGTTCATATGTATTTTATTTTTTGATGCTATTGTAAATAAAACTGTTTTCTTAATTTCATTTTTGGTTTGTTGACTGCTATGTATAGAAATACTACTCATTCTTTAATATTAGCCTTGTATTCTGAACCTTTGTTGAATCTGTTTATTAGCTTATTGGTTTTTGTAGGTTCCTTAGGTTTCTCTACATATAAGATAATCCCATCTGTGAATAGTTTCACTACTCTTCTAATTTGCATGCCTTTAATTCCTTTTCTCGCCTAACTGCCCTAGCCAGAACCTCCAATACAATGCTGAAGAGAAGTGGCAGGGCACTGCCACTTCCAGATACGATCAGGAGCTCACCTTGTTCCTGATTTTAGTGGGAGAAGCTTTCAATTTTTTGCCTTTAGGTGTCCTGTTAGCCATGGGTTTTTTTGTAAATGCCCTTTAACAGGCTGAGGAAGTTCTCTTCCGAGTTTTTGTTTCCACTATGAAGGGGTGTTGGATTTTGTCAAATGCTTTTCTGTGTCTATTCAAATGATGATGTGGTTTTTGTCCTTTATTCTATTAATACGGTATATTATATAAGCTGATTTTCAAATGTTGAGCCAAACTTGCATAAATCCATTTGGTCATGGTATACAATCCTTGTATGTTGCTGTAGTTGGTGTGCTAGTATTTGCTGAGGACTTTTGCACCTATAATCATAAGAGATACCAGTCTTGTGATGTCTTTGTCTTGTTTTGGTGTCATGATAATACAACCTCAAAGAATAAGTTAGAAACTGTTCCTTCCTCCTTTATTTTATATTTGAGTCTGGAAAGTATTGGTGTTAATTCTTCTTGAAACACTTGGTAGAATTAACCAGTGAAGCTGTGTGGGCCAGGACTTTTCCTTATGGGCAGTTATTCGTTATTTATTCAATCTTGTTGTTATATTTCTTTCAGATTTTCTGTTTCTTCCTGAGTTAGCTGCGGTAGTCTGTGTCTTTCTTTTAACTTGCCCACTGTGTTAATTTATAGGCATACGTTGTTTACAGTATTCCCTTACAGTCCTTTTACTTTCCTAAGGTTAGTTGTAATGTACCTTCTTTCATTTCTAATTTAGTGATCTGAGCCTTTCTTTTTTGCTCAGTGTGGCTAAAAGTTTGTCAACTTTGTTGATCTTTCTAAAAATTACCTTTAAAAAAATTGCCTTTGGTTTTGTAGATTTTCTCTGCTGTTTTTCTATTCTCTATCTCACCAGTTTTCACTCTAATCCTATTACTTCCTTTTCACCTTGAGATGTTTGTTCTTTTTCCAATGACTTAAGGTAGAAGTTTAGATTTTTGGAAAAATGTTGGGATTTATAGCTTTAAAGTTCCCTCTAAGCATGCTTTAGCTGCATCCCGTAAGTTTGATATATAGTGTCATTTTCATTTGTCTCAAAATATTTTTTTTTTCTCTCAGACGGAATCTTGCTCTGTCACACAGGCTGGAGTGTATCTCGGCTCACAGAAGTACATATGCAGTTCATATCTACTGCTGAGTCTTACTAGTAAATTTTTCATTTTGATTATTATACTACTCTTACTTTTGTTATTTTTTATTTATTTATTTATTTTTTGAGATAAAGTCACCTAGGCGCAACTGCAGTGGCACAATCTCAGCACACTGTGACCCCCACCTCCCAGGTTCAAGCGATTCTCAAGCCTCAGCCACCCAAGTAGCTGGGATTATAGGTATGCACCACCATGCCCAGCTAATTTTTGAATTTTTAATACAGATGGAGCTTTGCCATGTTGGCCTGGCTGGTCTTGAATTCCTGGCCTCAAGTGATCTGTTCACCTCAGCCTCCCAAAGTGCTGGGATTATAGGCATGAGCCACGACACCTGGCCTGATTTACACTTCAACTCCAGAACTTCCATTGGGCTCTTTTTAAACTCTTCCTATCTTTTTATTGTTATTCTCTATTTAATGACACATTATCAAATAGTCCTTTACTTTGTCAAGCAGCTTTAGTTCTTTGATCATATTTTTAATGGCTGCTTTGAAGTCACTGTTAAATCTGGCATCTGGACCCTTTCGCAGGCAATTTCTGTCACTTGCTTTTTCTTGTGTATAGGTTACACTTTCCTGTTTTTTCAGTCTCTATTTTTGTTAAAAACTGGACATTTTTGACTGGGCGAAGTGGCTCACACCTGTAATCCTAGCACTTTGGGAGGCCGAGGTGGGTGGATTGCCTGAGCTCAGGAGTTCAATACCAGCCATACCAGCCTGGGCAACTCGGTGAAACCCTCTCTCTACTAAAATACAAAAAATTAGCCAGCCGTGGCGGCGTGTGCCTGTAATCCCAGCTACTCTGGAGGCTGAGACAGGAGAATCACTTGAACCTCGGAGGCAGAGGTTGCAGTGAGCTGAGATTACACCACTGCACTCCAGCCTGGGCGACAGAGCGAGACTGTCTCCAAAAAAAAAGAGACATTTTAGGTAATATACTGTAGCAACTCTGCATACTGATCCCCCGCTCCTTCAGGGCTTGTTATTGTTATTTGCTTATTTATTAGTTTAGTAACTTGGCTAGGCTATTTTAATAAAGTCTCTTTCTCCAAAAGACTGGTGAAGGTTTTAATGTTGTGCCTCAGAGAGTGCAGTCTTGGGCATGTACAGAGTCTCCCTGGGATGACATTCAACCAGGCTGTCTTTGACCGGCTCTTTCCATGACCTCTCTGTTAAGCTTTCTGCCTCTTCTGGTATCACATCCAGCTGTTAGGCTCTACTAGCTGCAGTCTTGACTGTTTTTGACAATGCCCTGGAGTATAAACTGCTCCAAAGTCTAATTCAATTAAATTCAGGAAGGGGTAATTTTTGAAACTGAACTTTGTTCTAACCTTAGGAGAGTTCTTCTCAGCTGTCTCTTTCCCTGGTTCTCTGGTGAACTAGCTGGCCTGTAGACCACCCTGTTCTTAATTAAGAAGAGATACCTGACTGGGTGCAGTGGCTCATGCCTATAATCCTAGCACTCTGAGAAGGCAAAGGCAGGTGAATCTGTCTCTATTCAAAAAAAGAGAAAATATAAAAAATAAAAGAGTGAAAAAAAAATAAGAGGTATCTGTCTTTATTTGCTTATCATCTCCTTAGGCATGAACTTCCCTAGACCCTGTTCTTAACTGCCTCTCTCCCTGGGCAAATTCTCGGAGCAGGGTCAGTAGTCTCTAGTCTTCTGAGCTTGCCTCTCCCAGTGTAAAACCTTTGTACATCATCAAGCTACGGCAAAGGTGAGACAGCCATAGAATCCTTAGCCTGAAGTACGTGGGACAGAGCTTCCATACTGTTGAGTGTGGTATGGAGGTGGGGCGAGGAAGGAAGCCTCTGATCTCTTTGCCATACTCACCGAGAACTTAGCCTCTTTAATTTGGAGCTGGACGGAGTAAGAAAAGTTGGTGGCCTGCCACTCCCCATGAGACACCTATTCCTTGTTTGGGAGCAGAGAATTCCTGGGTTTGTATATTCTGAACCCATCCTGCTGGCCAGAGTCAAATCCTTCAGGGATGGGCACCTAACCAAAGATGGGCCAGAGTCCTTCACCAGGAAGCTGGAGCTGAGACTGGGAGTCTTCTTATTTACTAGGCAGTCTTCTGCCTAGTCCCATCAAGGGGACCAGGAAAACGCAGGGTACAATGAGAGAGAAGACTAAAGAAACACCGTAGAAAGAAAAAGAAACGAGGAGAGAAGTTTCCAGGTTCCTAAGAATGCTCTGGTTACTGGTTCTTGTCAGTCCCTGAGACACAGCAGTCTCAGGTCTGCAATAAAGCCCTTCTCCCTGAAATCAGATCCACTTTGGGGTGTTCAGTGGGGTTTCTGTAACAAGCTGTCAAGAATCTTAATAGATACAGTCTATAATTGCCTTGAGGAAAATTCTACTTTGAGCAAATCTCAAATTAATCCTTCCTTGGAAAGGAAGGCAAGAATGGTCCCAGGGGCCCAAGGAAAAGCTCGTGATCACTAAGGGAGTGATCCACCCATACCTTGATTGTGTTCTGACTCCTCATTGGCCACTCGCATCAGGGCATCTAGCACCAAAGCATTGTCTAGCCATGTGTACCACTCCTCCAACTCCTGAAGAAAGCTGGCTGTTCCCGTTGACTCTGACACCTTTCGAGTCGCCAGTTTGCAAAGCCGCTCAACAAAGCCAGGGATGCTGAGAAGGGCCGCTGCCAGGAAGAAAACGAGAAAATTTTCAAAACAGAGACGAGCAAAACTACCCCTAAAACCCTAACAAACAATCTGCATGACAGGAACAATTCTTCCTCTGATGGCAGCTAGTTAAAGCTACTCTTTTAAAATGAAATGCCAAGCCAAGGTAAAATAGTAATTATGTTATAGGCATAAGCTCAATTTTTAGCAGGTACAGGAAAGCAATCTTTTTATCTATTAGGAATAAAATTAGAATAATCTGTATGCCTTAAATTTGTGTGTCTTTGATCCAAGAGGTCAATTTCTGGGAATTTACTATAAGAAAATAGCCAGTCATAATATTACATAAGGACATCTGTATAAAGAGGCTCACTGATGTGGTTTCTGTAACAGCAAAAAGGTGAAGATAACTAAATGTTTATCAACAGGTGACTAATTAAATACAACGATACATTTATGCAATGGAATATTACATAGGTGTTAAAAATGATGACACACACATCTTTATATAGTGACTCAAACAGCTGTTAAAATTTACTTGTTAGGGAAAAAGAGTAAATTATTAAACAGTATGGGTTTCGTTAAGTTCATTTTCTTCAAAAATTTAAATATTCCCTTCTTTAAAATACACAAATAATGGCTGGGTGCAGTGGCTCACGCCTATAATCCCAGCACTTTGGGAGGCTAAGGTGGGTGGATCACGAGGTCAGAAGTTCAACAACAGCCTGGCCAATAAGGATGAAACCCCATCTCTACTGAAAAAAAAAAAAAAAAAAAAAAAAAAAAAAAATACAAAAATTAGCCAGGCATGGTGGCACACGCCTGTAGTCCCAGCTACTCGGGAGGCTGAGACAGAAGAATTGCTTGAACCTGGGAGGCAGAGGTTGCAGTGAGCCGAAATCATGCCACTGCACTCCAGCCTGGTGACAGAGCAAGACTCCATCTCAAAAAAAAAAAAATTCATTTTTTTGGTCCTACAGGGTGATAGCAAAAAAAAAAATACACAAATAAGGAACAAAAGCATATATACCAAGGGATTTACTGTGGCTATTCCTGAGCAGGAGAGAATATAAACATTTCTCTTAAAATCACTCGTCTATAGTTTCTAATTTTCCTGTAACATTTACTAGCAGGATGAAAGAAGATAAACATAATTTAAGGTTAAAAAAAAAAACCACTGAATAATTACCCAATTTTTCTTTCCACCGATCTCATTTTATTCACAATGACTGAGGTGGGAATTCTGATCAGCACAGAAGAACATCATAAACTTTGGAGACAGGGAGATCGAGGTTCAAATCCTGACTCCACCATTTAACCTTCTTTAAAATGAGACTAATGCCTGTTCAAGTTTGCTTGTATATGCACTAAATCTCCCTGAAAGGACAGAAAAGAAGCTGACTGCAGTGGCTGCCACTGTAAACAGCCATTAAGATGGAAATAGCCAAAATGTCCATCAAGTGGAAAAGGGAATTAGGTCTCTGGGAATAAGAGTGGAATGGAAACTTTTCAATAAATACCTTTTTGAATCTGCAGATTTTTTGGAGCCATGTGAATGTTATACCTAATTAAAAATTAGTAAATAACTAGATATTTCAGTGTATTAGGGGATTACTATTAATTTTTTATATGACAGAGTTATATTTCTTAAAAGTCATTATCTTGCAGAAATACTGCAATATATGCAGGTGAAATTATAAAATGTCTGGGGTTTACTTCAAAATAACCCAAGGTGAAGTAGAGAATAGTCAATGGGAGTAGAGATAAAGTAAAACAGGCTGGCTGGGCGCAGTGGCTCACACCTATAATCCTAGCACTTTGGGAGGCCAAGGTGGGTGGATCACTTGAAGCTAGGAGTTTAAGACCAGCCTGGCCAAGATGGCAAAACTCCGCCTCTACCAACAATACAAAAATCAGCCAGGCATGGTAGCACGTGCCTGTAGTCCCAGCTACTCAGGAGGCTGAGGTACAAGAATTGCTTGAACCCAGGATGCAGAGGTTGCAGTGAGCTGAGATCATACCACTGTACTCCAGCCTGGACGACACACACACAAAATAAGACAGCGCATCAGCTGACAATTGTTGAAGCCGAATGATGAGTAAATGGTATTAGAGGTGTTCTAATTTTACATGTGTGAATTTTCCATAATGAAAAATTTTATTTTATTTATTTTTCCCTTAAATATTAGATAGCAAGATAGTAAGTTTACTTATTTTTGAGACAAGGTTTGGCTCTGTTATCCAGGCTGCAGGGCTTGGCACAATCTCAGCTCACTGCAACCTTTGCCTCGTGGGCTCAAATCATCTTCCTACCTAAGACTCCCAAGTAGCTAGGATTACAGGCACACACCACCATGCCCAGCTAATTTTTGTTCTTCTTTTGGTAGAGACAGGGATTTGCCATGTTGCCCAGGCTGGCACTGAACTCCTGGGTTCAAGCTATGGCATGCCTCAGCCTCCCAAAGTGCTTGAATTACAGGCGTAAGCCACCACACAAGCCATAATAAAAAAATTTTAAAGTAAGATTCAAAAGAATACAACATTAAAGGAAATTAAAAAATATATTTTTATTAGCTATTACTAATTTAAAATAATTACTATAGTAATTAGGGGGATTATATTAAGTCATATAAATTCAGTGCCCACCACAAAGTTTGATAAATAATCTTGGTTCCTTTTTCATCTCCTATTAGTGAGTGGCTATAAGATGGTATTTGACCCCACTTAAAAAATAAAACTACGCTGAAGTTCCTCAAAAAGTCAAACATAAAATTACCATATGACCCAGCAATTTCACTCCTATATACACAAAAGAACTGAAAACAGGTGTGCACACAAATATGTGTACACATATGTTCACAGCACTATTCACAACAGCCCAAAGATGAAAACATCCCAAATGTTCATAGAATGTAGAGATAAACCGTGGTATCTACACATGATATTATTCAACCATATAAAGGAATAAAGTACGGACATGCTACAACATGAATGAACCTCAGAAACATTATGCCCAGTGAAAGAAACCAGATTCAGAAGGCCATACACTATATGATTCCATGTAGTTATGCACTGCATTAACACTGCTGTGTTCAATGACGGACCATATAGAGGATGGTGGTCCCATCATATTATAACACTGTATTTTTACTACACCTTTTTCCTATGTTTAGATACACAAACACCATTATGGTACAACTATCTATAGTATTCAGTACAGAAACATACTGTACAGGTTTGCAGCCTAGGTGTATAGTGGGCTATACCAGCTAGGTTTGTGCAAGTACACTGTGACATTCACACAATGACAAAATCACCTGAGTTTCTCAGAAGGACAGAGATTAAGAGACATATGACTGTGAATGAAGTAATCAGAATAGGTAAATCCACAGAGAAAAAAAGCAGAATGGTGGTTGTCGGCAGTTAGGGAGAAGTGGTAATGGGAAGCAGCTGCTTAATGTGTATGGGGTTTCCTTTTGGGGTGATGAAAACATGCAACTAGATAGAGGTAGTAGCTGCACAACACTGTAAAGGCGCTAAATGCCACTGAATTGTTCACTTTAAATTGGTTAATTTCATATTATGTGACCTCTATCTCCATAAAATAATTATACAGAGATCGATTTTTTTTTTGAGATACCATTTTTTTAACATATCAACTTGGCAAACATAAAGAAGTTTGAAATTGCTGTGTACTGGGAAGGCTGCAAACAGGGTGGGAAGATGAACAAGTAATTTCTTTGGAGGGTTAATTTGTCAATACTTATCAAGTCTCATTAATAGGGGACTAGTTAATTAAAAGTATGGTATGCCCATATAATAGAATACTATATAATTACAAAAAGGAATCTCATAATTCTATATATACTGGAATGTAATCTTTGGCAAGATAAGTTAAATAAAAAGAGACAGGGCAGTGCTTATTTTATATTACTTATTTACATTACCATCTGTACAAATAGGAAGCAATCTCTCTCCCTCCTTCCCTTATCCCATGACTGAGTATGTATAGAATATCTTTGGAGGCACGTTTAAGAAACTGGGAAAAAGTTACCACAGGGAGAGGGAAAAAATTTCTGCTGTACATCTGCTGTTCCTTTTTACTTTTTTTTTTTTTTGAGATGGAGTCTTGCTCTGTCATCCAGGCTGGAGTGCAGTGGTGCGATCTCAGCTCACCGCAACCTCTGCCTCCAGGTTCAAGGAATTCTTCTGCCTCAGCCTCACATGTAGCTGGGGTTGCAGGCACACGTCACCACACCCAGCTGATCTTTTGTATCTTTAGTAGAGACAGGGTTTCACCATAATGGCCAGGCTGGTCTCGAACTCCTGACCTCATGATCCGCCTGCCTCAGCCTCCCAAAGTGCTAGGATTACAGGTGTGGGCCACTGCACCTGGCCTGTACCATTAAAAAAAAATCTTAGGTATATATTATTTTTTCTAAAAACAAATAAATAGGCTGGGCATGGTGGCTCATGCCTGTAATCCCAGCATTTTGGGAGGCTGTGGGTGGATCACCTGAGGTTAGGAGTTTGAGATCAGCTTGGCCAACATGGCAAAACCCCATCTCTACTAAAAATACAAAAAAAATTAGTCGGGCACGGTGGTGCATGCCTATAGTCCCAGCTACTTGGGAGGCAGAGGCACAAGAATTGCTTGAACCGGAAGGTGGAGGTTGTAGTAAGCCGAGATTGTGCCACTACACTCCAGCCTGGGAGACATAGCCAGACTCTATCTAAAAAAAAAATAAATAAATAAATAAAAAGAATTTGTATTCTACATGAAAATTTTCACATAGTTGGATTTTTATTCTTATACTTTTTTTCTCTAGCGAAAAGAGCTCCTGTTGCTTGAACTGCTCCTCTCAGGACAGTATGTAGGAGCTAGTCTTCCCCATTCCGGCACACTGAACACACTCCTCCAGATGTGATGTGCCCAGCACTCAGCGTTGTAAGTCGGACTTTCCACTTGAGATTCTTGAGCTGTTTTGAGTCCCTCATCTCTTGAGAAGCTGATAGAAGATATAGACCTTCTCCCGAGAAAAAATTCACTGGACCAATCATACCTAGCAACTCACATACAATCTCATGGACTGGCATCCCAGCATCATACAGTCCTTGTAATTCTCATAGCTTTATCAATAGCTACCACACCTTGTTGGTTAATGTTAAAGTGACAACTAAATCACTCACAACTCCTGAGAGTTTCTGCAGAAGCAGGCCTCTTCTCTCCCCTCGTTTTTGAAACATCAGCGTTTTCCACACACTCTTGTAGTTTCCCCTAGCGCTTAGGCCCTGCTTTCCAGCTTCATGTGTTGCATAAATTAGGCCCTCTCAGCTAAATGTCACTTATAAACTGACAATTATCTAGCCTATAGCTTCATTTACATCTCTGCTCAAAATCTTGAATGTTGTTACTTTCCCTCAGAAGGAAATCATTTGTTCTCATCTGAATCGACAGAAGGAACAACTGGTAGTTCCGAGAATCTCAAAAAGGACTCAAGTAATGATTTATTTAATAACGAATCTCAAAAAAATAACGATTTACACTATTTTTCTGGAGCTCAGATAATTTACATTAGATAATTACAGGTAAACTATCTGAGCTCCAGGAAGATAGCATAAATCATTATTTTGCTGGGCAAGAAAGTGACCTCACAGCCACAGTTTATCAAAAACGAAACAAAAACTTTTGGCAACATCCTACATATTTCAGCTTTCCATATAGTTATGGACTGCATTCCCCCTCCCAAATTCATGTTGAAGCTCTAGTCCCAAAATGACTGCATTTTGAGACAGGGCCTTTAGGGAGTGTGATGGTTAATTTTAGCTGTCAACTCAACTGGATTGTGGGATGCCTACATGGCTGTTGAAGTATCGTTTCTGGGTGTGTCTATGAAGGTGATTCCAGAAGAGATTGGTGTATGGTCTGTGAACTAAGAAGGAAAATCTGCCCTCAATGTGGGCAGGCACCATCCATTTGGCGGGGGAAGCGAGGGGAGGTGATAGAGGAAAACAAAAAGGGATTCTCCCCCTTCTGGAGGAAGTTTTTTCCTCCTGCTCTTGGCTATAAGATTCCAGGATCTTTGGCCTCTGGTCTCTGAGACTTGCACCAACAGTCTCTGGGGTCCTCCGGCTAGGGGGCTACACCATTAGCTTTCCTGCTTCTAAGATTTCTGGACTTGGACTGAGCCATGCTAATGGCTTCTCAGGTTCTCCAGCTTGCAGATGGCTTATCTTTTATTTTATTTATTCATTTTTGGAGACAGAGTTTCACTCATCACCCAGGATGGAGTGCAATGGCGCGATCTCGGCTCACTGCACCCTCTGCCTCCTGGGTTCAAGCAGTTCTCTTGCCTCAGCCTCCCAAGTAGCTGGGATTACAGGTGTGCGTCACCACACCTCGCTGATTTTTGTGCAGATGGCTTATCACGGACTCTTCTGCCTCTATGATCATGTGAGCCAATTCTCCTAATAAATCCCCTCTCATAAATTCTATTGCTTCTGTCTCTCTGGAGACTGCTGTCTAATACAGGGAAGTAATTAAGGTTAAATGAGGTTATAAGCATGGGGCCCTAAACTGAGAAGACTGGTGTCCTTATCAGAAGAGGAACAGACACCAGAGATTTCTGCCTCTCCTCATCCACACAGAGGAAAAGTCCTATGTGGATACAATGAAAGGGTGGCCATCTAAAAGCTGGCAAGAAAGGCCTCACCAGGAACCAGTCCTGACAGCACCTTGATCTTGGACTTCCAGCCTCCAAAACTGTGAAAAAAATCAATGTCCATTAGTTAAGCCACCTGGTCAGGTTAACTTGTTATGGCAGCTCAAACTGACTGATACACACACCTGATATAAACGCATTCACTACTGGAGTGCAATTCAACAATGACAACATTCAGAGGGCTAAGACTTTTCTGACCCACTCTTGATTTAATTACATCCACCAGCTTGGCCTTACCAGGGCACTTGAATGAAGAAAAACGTGTGGGTAAGCAAATGGAGCAGAAATTATGGTCAGACTCTGTATAACCTCATGTGCAGAACACTACAACATTTAAGCTTTACCCCAAAAGCTACAAGCAGAATCACACACAGACTGTCTACCAGGTTAGTCACACGGGTATGAAAATGAATCTAGATATTTTATAAGGACTTTTAAGAAAAACTCCCCCCACACACAGAAACAAAAAACAACTGGGGTTTTGGGTCTCAGTAAAAAAAAAAAAAAAAAAAAAAAGAAAAAGAAAACCTAGCTGACTAGAATAGTTAATTCCCCAAGAATAACAGGTAATGCTAGTTTTACTTAAGTCAGTTTACAAACAGGCATGTGAAGGTAATCAATACTAACAGGATCAAAATCATCTGCCAGAACAGATTTCTTAAATGGGAAACGAAAAGATCAAAGTTACTTAGTGCCTCGGCATACACAGGTATTCTGTATAGAACCTTTCTAGCCCTCAGTTTCCTCATTATGTGCAATGGGGATACTAATCTCTATTTTACAGGGCGCTTGAAGATTAAATAAAATCACTTCTAGGTAAAGCAGTTAGCCCAGTATTTGCCACATAGCAGGAGCTTAGCAAATACGACCTTTTGTCGACGTATATGGAGGTGTGTACACCAGCTCTGAGGTATAATTTAGTTATAATGAAAATCACATTTTTTTTAACATGTAAATTTACTAAAATGAGAACTCCCCAAAAATCACAAAGGAGGAGTGGGAAGAAAACCATACACAGACCAAGGAAGATCTTGTATCTAGGGACACAGGAGGAAAAACAAATCTGGAAAGAAAATGACTAATCTGGGGTCAGAGTCCACAAACTTCTACCTTTACATGTGACTACAACACATAAAATTATATTCCCTGATAACCTACAAAGTACAGTTATGATCACCTCGTGTTCCTAACTAAAACTACGTATGAACAGAGTGAATAGAAGGCTCGTATTCAGCCTCAGGAGAGGGGCTGCTCTGAAGCACTTGGCAACTCTGCAGAGCCAGCCTGGGGAACGCACACAACTAGACTTTAGAAACAACTGTTTTCAGAGCATGATCAACGCTACCTCTGGATGGTCGTGGTTTTCTACTGCTGCTTTTTAATGATACATTTGCATTATTTTACTTTGCTTATTTGGTGTACCCTAAGGTACACAGGGAAAGGTTTTTGTATTAACAATATTTCTAGCCTGTTAACATTGAAAAACTAGCTTTTAAGACACAAGTTTCAGTTCAAATATGAATTATCTATACTCCTATGGCCAAAACACATATATGCCAGTTTCTCCAAAATCTGTGCAGGCAACATTTTAGATAGAACACAGTTCTTTTGCTACTGAACAGAAATAGGTGGGGTAGGTTGATCAGAATAGTGTTTTGTTTTTAAAGTAATACAGTTACATGGTTCTAAAATCAAACTATATTTAGAAGTATACAGTAAGGAGTCTCACTCCCACTGCTACTACCTTCCCTTACCACCTACTTCCTCCTATTAAGTAACCACTTCAGGTTTCTTGTGTATCCTTTCAGTTTCTTTAAGCATAAGATATGTGAGCAAACATATGGTCTTATCTCCCCAACTTAATACAAAAACTATCATATTATACACACAATTCTGTATTTTCCTCATCATTAATATACAGTGGAGATTTTTCTATACCAGTACATACAGATCTTCATTCTTTCAAAGCTACACAATTTTCCATTATATAAATATTGAATACATTAAGCAGTCTCTTGTTAACGAACATCTGGGTTCATTTTGTTATTACAACCAATGTTGCAATGAATAATTTTTTTTTTTTTTGAGACAGATTCTAACTCTGTTGCCCAGGCTGAAGTGCAGTGGTGGGATCTAGGCTCACAGCAACCTCCCCCTCCTTGGTTCAAGCAATTATCCTGCCTCAGCCTCCCAAGCAGCTGGGACTACAGGCGTGCACCACCACCATGCCCAGCTATTTTTTGTATTTTTAGTAGAGATGAGATTTTGCCATGTGGGGCAGGCTGGTCTCAAACTCTCAACCTCAACTGATCTTCCTGCCTCGGCCTCCCAAAGTGCTGGGATTACAGGCGTGAGCCAACGTTCCCAGCCTCAATAAATAATCTACAGTAGTCCTCCCTTAGCTAAGACCCCACAGTGAATACCTGAAATGGCAGATAGCACAAAGCCCTATATATACTATGTTTTTTCTTATACATACGTAAGTATAATAAAGCTTAATTTATATATCAGGTACAATAAGAGATTAACAACAATAACTAATTATAAAATAGAACAATTACAACAAGATGCTGTAATAGGAGTTATATGAATGTGGTCTCTTCTGGAATTTTTCAGTTAATATTTTCAGATTGCAGTTGACCACAGGTAACTGAAACCACAGGAAGTGAAACTGCAGACAAGAAGGGACTAGTGTCTATACATCGTATCTATAAAATGAAGGCCCAGGAGAGACTTAGTAGGTCAAAAGCATATGCATTTGTAATTCTGATAAAAAGTGGTTCTTTTTTGTGGTTCTGAGCCCATTAAAAAATCTAATGAGAGGTATGGAACTTGGTTCCCAAAATAATGAACAGATACACAAAATTTACATAACTAGCAGCCCTCATATGGATCCATCTCTAGAGATATTAAAAAGGGGTGCTAGGTGTCGTGGTTCACACATGTAATTCTAGCACTTTGAGAGGATGAGGTGGGTGGATCACTTGAGCCCAGGAGATCAAGATCAGCCTGGGCAACATGGCGAAGCCCCATCTCTTCAAAAAATACAAAAATTAGCCCGGTGTGGTGGCACTTGCCTATAGCCCAAGTTACTCGGGAAGCTGAGGTGGGAGGATAACCTGAGCCTGGAGAGGTCAAGGCTGCAGTGAGCCACAACTGGCCACTGCACTCCTGCTTGGGTGATGCAGTGAGATACCATCTCAAAAAAAAAAAAAAAAAGAGCTGGAAGATTTAGGAAGGGCCTCAGAGCTATAATCTCAAAATCTGAGAACTTGGAGACTTTACCTTGATTGATTTCAGCTGCAGAAGGCCCCAAACTCAAGCTCTTCTTCTGTTGAGCATTTTTGGCAAGAAGCGTGTGCTTGTCATCATTCCCTGTATCCATCTCTGAAATGGTGACAGCCAGAATCCGGCAGAAATTAGCGAGCTGCTGCTGATCGAAATTGGATACTAAGGAACTCAGATTGGGGACTTCATCTAGTCGGATCATTTCCTACAGAAGACAAAAATGAAACAATCCCCACGCTCAATTCACTCAAGAGATTGGATGTGCCTTTCTTTTTCATCCCCCTTATATGGGACTCAAGAGCTAGATCACTTAGGTTCGTATCTCAGCTCTGTAACTTGCAGCTCTGCAACCTTAGGTAAATTATAACAATCTTTCAAGTTTTTGCTTGTTTATCTGTAAAATGGGACTAACTTATCTCACAGGATTAGTCTGAGGGCTAAATTTACCTTTTGAGCACGACTGTTTTTACTCATTCTTGTGGTATATTTTGCCTATTTTTTAAAAAAGGAAATGCCTACAATTCAAGTTTTAGAAATCATAAATTACCATTCTTGCTATAGATTTTTTTAAAAAATAAAGGCCATGTGCAGTGGCTCACGCCTGTAATCCTAGTACTCTGGGAGGCTGAGGCGGGTGGGTCACCTAAGGTTGGGAGTTCGAGGCCAGCCTGACCAACATGAAGAAACCCCGTCTCTACTAAAAATACAAAATTAGCTGGGTGTGGTGGTGGGTGCCTTGTAATCCCACTATTTGGGAGGCTGAGGCAGAAGAATCGCTTGAACCCGGCAGGTGGAGGTTGCAGTGAGCCAAAATTGTGCCACTGCACTCTTACCTGGGCAATAAGGGCAAAAGTCCGTCTCAAAAAAAATAAATAAATAAATAAAAAATAAATAAATAAATACCTACTTCAAATATAGCTAAAGGCCTCTGAGTATCCCCCAATCAGTTGAATTTTCTTCTCTCCCCGCAGAGGTAACCATTGTTTTCAACTTTGTGTTTATGGTTCCCACGTATATTTTTATACAAATATTTCCATTAAAATACATGGTACTACTGCTCTGTGTGCACCGTGGGAATGGCACCATACTATAACTTACTTTTCATTCAACATTTTGAAAGTTTATCTACACTGATGCAAGCAGCTGCTTCAATCACTTCCCACTGTTTCACCCCACAGTTTAATCATTTCTCTCTTTTCCTTTTTTAAGAGACAGGGGTCTCACTCTGTTGCTCAAGCTGGAGTGCAGTAGCATCATCATAACTCACTACAGACTCAAACACCTAGGTCCAACCAATCCTCCCACTTCAGCTTCCCGAGTAGCTAGGGCTACAGGTGCACCCCATTACACCTAGTTTTTTAATAGCCTTTTTTTTTTTTCCCAGATGGAGTCTTGCGCTTTTGCCCAGGCTGGAGTGCAGTCGCATGATCTTGGCTCATTGCCAACTCCACCTCCCAGGTTCAGGCAATTCTCCTGCCTCCTCCCAAGTAGCTGGAATTATAGGTGCCTGCTACCACAACAGGCTAGATAGGATTTTGTCATGTTGGCCAGGCTGGTCCTGAACTCCTGACCTCAGATGATCCACCCACCATGGCCTCCCAAAGTGCTGGGATTATAGGTGTGAGCCACTGCACCCGGCCAATATCTTATTTTTATAGAGATGGGGTCTCACTATTGTTGCTCAGGCTGGAACTCCTTGCCTCAAGAAATCCTCTCACCTTGACTTCCTAAAGTGCTGGAATTACAGGCGTGAGCTACTATGCCTGACTCATTTTTCTTTTTTTGAGATGGAGTCTTGCTCTGTCACCAGGCTGGAGTGCAGTGGCGCAACCTCGGCCTCCCGGTTCAAAGATTCCCCTGCCTCAGCCTCCCAATTAGCTGGGACTACAGGCGCACACTACCATGCCCAGCTAATTTTTTGTATTTTTAGTAGAGACAGGGTTTCACCATGTTGGCCAAGATGGTCTTTATCTCCTGACCTCGTGATTCACCCACCTTGGCCTCCCAAAGTGCTGGGATTACAGGTGTGAGCCACCATGTCTGGTCCCACTTTCTTTTAACACATATTTAGGTGAACCACAGTCTTTCACTATTAAACAATGTTGCAATTAACATTCCTACAGGTACTCTCTGTGTACACATACATGTGGCCATTTATCTAGAGTGAGAGCAAGAATTCTTGTCTTTTTCTTGACTTTACTAGAAATATTTCCAAAATATTAAAAGTTTAATATTTGCTGTATATTTTAATACCCTGTATCAGTTAAATTTTAATAAATACCCTGTATGTAGTTTATAAGTTTTCCTTCTATTGCTAGCTTTTATTAGGAATGATAATTGAATTTTATGGAATGCCTTGTGTTATTTGGTTCTATTCTCATTTATTACTCCTTAAAATCTGTAAATGTCATGTACTACCTGAGTTTTTCTCATTCTGAACCATCCTGGTGCTACTCAGGTAACACCTGCCATCCTTGATCCCACCAATTTACTGAACTTCCACTGGACTGGGTATTTCTCTTTCACTGCACAGATCACATGGACTTTTATTTTTTTTGGAGACGGAGTTTCGCTCTTGTTACCCAGGCTGGAGTGCAATGGCGCGATTTCGGCTCACTGCAACCTCCGCCTCCTGGGCTCAGGCAATTCTCCTGCCTCAGCCTCCTGAGTAGCTGGGATTACAGGCACGCGCCACCATGCCCAGCTAATTTTTGGTAGTTTTAGTAGAGACGGGGTTTCACCGTGTTGACCAGGATGGTCTCGATCTCCTGACCTCGTGATCCATCCGCCTCGGCCTCCCAAAGTGCTGGGATTACAGGCTTGAGCCACCGCGCCCGGCCCCACATGGACTTTTAATCATCTGTTCCTGCATCTACATCCCAAATAATCTGACCATACTTTGAGGAAGGCATATATCCTACCCTTTCTCCTGAAACTCAATGCATAGTCTGAAACAAGTGCATGATTCCTAGGCACCCTCACGAATCCCACATTCCCTCTATTTCTAGTAATGGAGGAAGACAGGAATTTGCTGTGCAGGGGTATTGAGGAGCAGCTGCTTCCACCTTTCCCTAGTACAGAACAAACGTTAGCTGTTGCTATTAGTGGCAATTGTAACTTTCAGCTCACCAGTTTCTCCAGCCCTGTCTCAGTATATGGGTTCCAAAACAGGTCCCACAACCTGCAATCCACTTCTGTTTTTGTTTTAAATTTTAAGAATTATGTTTTAATTTTTGATACATACAATACATAGTATACAGCATAACAAAATGACTAGCTGTGTGGGCCTTTCCTATTGCATTTCTCTGCCTCTGGGAACCACTAACATTATTATCGCCTTGCCATTTAAAAACTAGTTTTATCAATGAATAATTTGCTTTTTTGAGCTTTATGAAAATGATATACTACCCACAGTCTTCTGCAATTGGCTTCTATCACTCAATCATTTCAATTACTCAGCTATGTTGTTGCCTATGGCAACAGTTCATTCATTTCTACTACTTTATAATATTCCATTGTGTGAAGACAGTACATACATCCCTTCTCCTATTGATGGATCAGAGACTTGGTTTCAGTTTTTTGTTCTGAAACAATGAAGCTACAAATGTTATGTGTTTTTTGATGCACAGGTGCAGAAGTCTTCCTGGAGCAGTGGCTTCCACACTTTCTAACTATCACCAAGAACCACCACCAGTAAACATACATACATAAATATCAAACAAAAACTTATTCAAATAATACCCTTACACAACACAGTCTGATCTTTTCTATTTGGCTTGTAGACCTGATGGATTGATTTCACAACCTTCTTGGTTTTAATCTAGTGTTTTCATTTCTAAGAATCACTGTTCTTGGACTGAGCTTCCCCACAAGTGGGCCCAGGCACAGGTTATAAGTGACCCATGGCAAAATACTGATGTCTCAGCCCTCAGGGCAAAGCTTCCCTAGGTGCTGGGGCACAAGGTATGTGCCCGCTCAACTACAAAACAAAAAAAGAGGATACTGTGCTGACAAACTATCAGCAGTATATAAGTGTTCCCACTGATACACATACTCACCAACATCTGCCCACTCTCCCCCTCACTATGGTACTGATTTGCATTTCCTTGACTGTCAATGAAGTTAAGCATCTTCTCTTTCATATTTATGGACCATTTCTTTCTTGTCTATGAAATGCTTGTTTACATCATTGCTCATCTGTCAACTGGGCTATTTGTCTTTTTCATGCTGATTTGTAAGTTTTTTGACAGGGAGTCTCGCTCTGTTGCCCAGTCTGGAGTGCAGTGACAACATCTTGGCTCACTACAACCTCTGCCTCCAGGGTTCAAGTGATTCGCATGCCTTAGCTGGGACTACAGGTGTATGCCACTACACCAGGCTAATTCTTGTATTTTTTAGTAGAGACGAGACTGGGTTTCACCATGTTGGCCAGGCTGGTCTCAAACTCCTGACCTCAAGCAATCTGCCCGCCTCAGCCTCCCAAAGTGTTGGGATTACAGGAGTGAGCCACGGCACCCGGCCAGTAAGAATTCTTGATAAATTCCGAATACCAATCCTTTGTTGGTTACCTGAATTACAAATGTCTTTTCCCAGTTTGTGGTTTGTGTTTCCACTTTATGTCATCTACCCTCCTTTCAAACTGCACAAAGATACATATAATGTTTGGTAGAACACATCACCATTTTGGGGTTCACAGAAAGGAATGAGAGGGAGTGAGGGGGCAAGTGGGAAAAGTTGTGAAGGAGCAACTCTAGACTCCTATGCTGAGACTGCTAGGGAGTCTGGAGTTTCCACTCTGGAGGCCCCCTTTCACACACTGGCTGGAACACACAATTACTGGAATAATAACAAAGCCTTTTTTATCAAAAGGCACAAAGGGTCTGTCTGGGGCCTGCACATATCTCCAGTGTGTTCCTACAGACAATAGGCCACTTGTGCTGGGCAATGACAAGCAAGGCCTGGGGAAAGCACAGCAAGAAGAAATGAAAGCTAGGGTCACCACAGTGCACGTGAACACCCATTTCCCTGCAAACAGCAACCCCTAGGAGGCTGCGCAACAGGAAGAGAAAGAAATCTGTCAAGCTGCAATCAACATGGAGGCTCAGGAGAGATCAGGACTGGAGAAGTGAGCTCCAGGTCCTAACAAGCATTACACCAAAAATGTAACACAGCGAGTCTCTAACAGAGGTCTATGAATGCATCTTTGGGTATCTGTGAACTCCTGAAATTTTTAATTTAGTTTTCATTTCGATCGCAGTTTTTTAAAAAAGCTATGGGTCATTTGAATATCAACCTTTTGGCCAAGTGACAGTATTTCAGAGCTCCCATTTATCTCCTACTGCACTGGTGCCAATTAACCAACTTTAATTGTTGACTAATGAGAAAAAACAGAAGCAGACTTCATAAGTGAAAGCCAAACATTACTACCAAAGCGGAACATATCCTAATGAATGAAAGCTTCACAGCAATTCAGGTAGCGGTTCAGGTAGAGAAAAGTGGTAAGAGAATGGAGTCACTGCACATTATACAATAGCACAGATATGCTACAAAGAACTTGCTCCACAGTCATGAGTGAGGGGCAATTTGATTTCAGCAAAGTAACATAAGGCATCACACTACATTCACAGAGTCAATCTGAAGTTTTGAGTTTTAGAATTAGTTTGATTTCAGTGTATACGTTTGTTTAGGTTTTACAGTCAGGGAAGAACCATTAGTATAAGGAGTAATCAAGTTTTACACCTGAATATATCTAAGTAGCACAAGACATAAATTAACACTAGGAATCTGCAAGAATTTCTTTTTAAAAGCTTTGTATATTGTTCAGGTTTGAGAATCCAATGGTCTGAGACACTCTTCCCCATCTGGTCGGCTGGAGGAGACAGCTTACCTTTTTAACACCCAAAATATCTTCAATGAGGGTTGCTGTTTGTAAGAAAGTCTTCTTACTTGTCATCAGTGTAAACAGGAAGATCACAAAGTCATTCTTTTCTGCCAAACGCTTTGTAACTCCTTCCGTCTGTCACAAGAAGACAGAATAGGTTGTACGCACAAAATAAATTATGAAGAGCAAGGCATCCTTTACAGACACTGAAAAGCAATTTCACCTCTGAAAACTGGCATGAGTCAACAAAAAGGGAATGACAAAATTTGACTGTGGGAAACACTCATTAACTCCCCAGCCATGGAAGAAAAAAGCCTCCTGACATGCAGGCTACACAAGTGGGAGCCCACTTGTGAGAACATAACACAATGAGATGGTATTTCCTAAGAGAACTTATATAAGGGTTCTGAAGGCCATTCTTAAATTTGAAATCCAACAGTGCCTGAAGCATGAATGTAACAGTCAGACCCAAATTCTAATTTCAGCTGTGTGATCCTGAGCAAATCACTTCCCACCTTTGGAACTCTGTTTTTTTCATCACTAAAATAATCATCTTAAAAGTCTCTGAGACTGGGCATGGTGGCTCACACCTGTAATCCCAACACTTTGGGAAGCTGAGGTGGGCGGATCACTTGAGACCAGGAGTTTAAGACCAGCCTGGCCAACTTGTCAAAACCCTGTCTCTACTAATAATACAAGTATTAGCTGGGTGTGGTGGTGTACACCTGTAGTCCCAGCTACTCAGGAGGCTGAGCTAAAAGGATCACTTGAGCCCAGAATGTGGAGGCTACAGTGAACCATTATTGGGCAGATGCACTCTAGTCTGGGCCACAGAGGGAGACCCTTACTCAAAAAAAACAAACAAAAAACAACGAAAACAACAACAACAACAACAAAAACCCCCAAGGGGTACAAAGGAAGTAAGGAAATTAGATGGTTAAAGACCTTAAAACTTAGGTTCAAGAGTTTGGATTTAAAACTATAGTATTGTCAGATGCATGGTTCACACCTACAATCTCAGCTACACAGGAGGCTGAGGTGAGATGACTGCCTGAGGCCAGGAGTTTGCCGACACAGTGAGCTACAGTCTCACCCCTGCATTCCAGCAGGGGGACAGAGTGAAACCCTGTCTCTAAAAATAATGAAACTGCAGTACTGCAAGCTTAAACACACACATACATCCCACCCCTGCTGCCTTAAGGTAACTAGACTTTAGTGCCTTCAATATTTCTTTTTTTCAGCCTCTAAGCTGAAAAAATTCCAAGGCTTACTGCAACAAACTTGACTTCTCCTTAAGGAATATAATCAAGTGTGCAGACAGGCACAATTTGGTAAATGAGAACCCCAAGCTAGGAAGCATTTCAGAATCAGTGGGATGAGATATGTTGCAGCAAATTTAATTTTCTTTCTTTTAATTTTAGACACAGGGTCTCACTCTGTTGCCCAGGCTGAGCTCATGGCTATTCACAAGAACTATCACAGTTTACTGCAGCCTCAGTCACCTGAGCTCAAGTGATCCCCCCACCTCAGCCTCTTGAATCGCTGGGACTACAGGCGTGTGCCACTGCACCTGGCAAATTTAATTTTCAAAAGTGAAGGCATCAATAAAGATGTGCCAAATATATAAATCTTCAACGATCACATTAAATAGGACACTAGAGAAAGTAATCTCAGTCTGTATTAATTAATGATACATTTCTGTTCTTCAGTTGTAGTACTGATACATTAAAAAAAAAAAAAGGTTGTATTCCTGAACTCCATACAGTACCTCCACTGACTATGAGATGTGAAACAGGACTGCCTATAGCTTTACTCACACAAGCAAAAGTTCTAGACTATCCAAAGAAACAGAACAAAAATAAATAAATTTAACACTTTCTCAAAGCTTAAAAATCTATCTCCAGGCTGTCAAATGCACAATCCTGCTGCTCTAACTAGCTACCCTTGACTATCCATCTTTCTCCTCTCTTCAATTTATCAAAGTCCTACTCCTTTTAGAGATGGCTGAAGTGCTTCCTCTCGGAAAGCCTTCCCAAGTCAAGACTAGCCACCCAAGAGGCCATTTCAATCCTTCCTTTCCTCTACATCACAAGTTCCTGAGGCCTTAAAGCTCTAAAACAATATATAAAATGTTGTGTGCCACTACATTTTTCTGGGGAGAGTTTTTTCTATATAATATTCATCACAGGTTTTTCTTTTTTAGAGACAGGGTCTCACTCTATAGCCCAGGCTGAGTGCACTGGCACAATCATGGCTCACTGCAGCCTTGACCTCTCAGGCTCAGGCAATCCTCCCACCTCAGCCTACTGAAGAGCTGGGACTACAGGTATGTACCACCACATCTAGCCAATTTTTTTTTTTTGAGACAGAATCTCGCTGTGTCACCCAGGCTGGAGTGCAATGGCATGGTCTTGGCTCACTGCAACCTCTGTCTCTTGGGTTCAAGTGAATCTCCTGCCTCAGCCTCCCAGGTTGCTGGGATTACAGGCACCCACAACCACACCCAGCTAATTGTTGTATTTGTAGTGCAGATGCGGTTTCACCATGTTGGCCAGGCTGGTCTCGAACTCCTGACCTTGTGATCACTCACTTTGGCCTCCCGAAGTGCTGGGATGACAGGCATGAGCCACCACGATCGGCCAACAGTACTTTTTAAACTTTTGAGTTTAAACATCTTTAGACAGCTCCCACTTGCTCCAGTATAGTCACAGTTTACACTAGTTCCCACTCCAACACCAGCAATTTCAAACCTTTCCTGTTTTCTGTCTGATCCCTGGAGGCATTGGTGTTTGCAATCCTAACAGGCCCAGGTTTTCTACTTAACATGGAAATCAGCCAGACAGCACCTAATTAGACCATATCATCCTACGTTCCTTACTTTAAAATTTTTTTTCAATTTTATTTAAAAATACTTTTAGTTGATGTATAATAAAGATACATAGTTTCAGAGAGCATAGAATTTAATATATTCAGATAATTTATAAATATCAAATCAATGTACTTGGGATAGCCATCAGCTTGAATACTTGTCTCTTCTTTATGCTACCAAAGTCTCTTCTAGCTATTTTGAAATGTAAAACAGATTATTATAAACTAAGTTATACCCTTACTGATTTATCTAACACTCGGTCTTATTTCTTTTATCAACCCATATATTTGTACCCTTTAATCAACTTCTCTTCATATGTTTCATTTTCTTTAACTTCACTGTTTTACTGGAATGTCACTGATTAACATTAGGTATCATGATTTTAAAACAGCACCATAAAACTGGTGACGATATGGAAGCTGCCAGTGATGGAGTTATTATATTATACACTGTCTTCTTCCATAAGGACAATTTCTTATTGGCCCTAGTTGCAAGAATAATTGTGCATTTCCTGAACATTTTGTTTTTTATCTTATAGATCTCCCTGTGCCTATCTTTGTCATCAGCTGTACCTGACTACTGGGCACTCGAAAGGTGGCTGGACCAAACTCTGATGTGCTCTTGGTGTTCAAACAAAAAACAAAGAACACACTGGATTTTGAGAGCTAACTACTAAAAAAAGAAAAATTCATATCTAATTAATCATTATACTGATTACATGTTGGAATAACAATATTCTTGATATACTGTGTTAAATAAAATTTATCATTAAAATTCACTATTTCTTCCTATTTTTTCTTTAAAAAATGTGGTTACAAAGAAATTTAAAATAACCCAAGTGGCTTGCATATTTCAATTGCACAGCACTATTATAGATGCTGAATTATATAAGTGTTCAAACATATTCCCCTATTTGTGTTGGCTGCTAAGAAATGTGGAGCCAAATTTGTGCCCATCCATAATACAGATGATTTTATGGTCTACATTTTTATATCCGTCTAATTCCTGGCTGTACGTTATGTCCCCACTCTTGTTTTATCTTCTTCTTTCTTACCTACTTGTGATCTTGGTAGATTTTGCATACACCCACAAGATGCCAGAAATCTTATTTTGAATGAGGCAAGAAATGAAATGGAGCTAAATGTTCCTTTTTTATTTCCACAGCATACAGGGTTCAAATCTATAATAGCACTCATCTCATTCTGCCATGTATTATGATTCACGATTTACAGTTTACCATAAGTTTCTAAAAAACAGGCACTATGTCTTATAAAAATATTTATATATTGTTTTACGAAGTATTTTCACATCTATTATCTCAGTTCTCACAATAAATCTATGATGTTAGTATGACCATTAACTGCAGTCTATTGGTAAGAAACTATGGCTTGGGAGGTGTGCTAAGCCAAGGACCAGAACACGAAATCGGGTTCTAACACTGAGTGCTATCCTCTTTTGTTTCTACCAAATTGCTTCCTTTATTCGCCATTCTTCCTGGCTCAGTGGTCAACCTAGCAGAGAGTCCTGCTCAATATGTGGGTGGGGCTTCTGGTTCTTGTTTTGTTTTCTAACAAGGAAAATGAAGAAATAGGCATAATGTAGTTAAAATGAGTCTTAAACTGTCACAGACCATCTGCCAATGCTTGTCACCTTTTGACAAGTAATTGTTCAGTTTCTACTTGGACAGCTCCAGGGCCCAAGGAGTTTAGTAGCTGCTGCAGCAGTCCTGGCTCTTAGTAACTGCTACAAAATTCTGCCTCCCCATCATTTCTACCAGCTAGTCCTGATTTTCAGGCACACATAAAATAAGCCCAGTTCTCTCACTGTCTGAACAGAGTGCTCATGTTTGCCACCCCCGCTTGAATATTCCCATCTGAACCATTGCAGATCTGGTAGGGAGATAAACGGAGCCCCAGTGGCAGGGGTACTTACACAGACACAGGTATTATACAGGATACTCAAGCAGTCCTTGGACATTTCATCACTTACTGAAAGGGAAAGGGGAACGACTGGTTATTTTTCTCATTGAAATCATAGTAAAACGGTTACTTTTTTTTTTTGCCTAAGAACTGATATAATCCCCTCCAAGATGCTTATTTTCCTTTTAATATACTGCTTCCAGTCCCCTTCTACCAGATTTTCATAGTGCCCATCAGAACCTATAAGCCCATTTGCATACTGCTTTTGGTTTGATAGAGCAGCTGTTTTCTTATTATGTTCTACAGTCTTCATAATTTTTTTTTTTTGTTTTTGAGATGGAGTCTCGCTCTGTCACTGGGCTGGAGAGCAATGGCACGATCTTGGCTCACTGAAACCTTCCCCAGGTTCAACCAACTTTCTTGCCTCAGCCTCCCGAGTAGCTGGGACTACAGGCATGTGCCACCACACCCAGCTAATTTTTGTATTTTTAGTAGAGACAGGGTTTCACCATGTTAGCCAGGAGGGTCTCTATCTCTTGACCTCGTGATCTGCCCACCTTGGCCTCCCAAAGTGCTGGGATTATAGGCGTGAGCCATGGCGCCTGGCCAGTCTTCATAATTTCAACCTGCTGTTGTGCCATCACTTAATAAAGCCATTTTCCCTTAATGTCTGGCTTAGGATATATCCAGGATTTGTTTTGTTTTGTTTTGTGTTTTCTATTTAAATAGACTACAAATCAGCAATATTTATGTGTATCCTTTTAATGCTTGTATTAAACTGGTTCCTCAAGATACATTTTCAAAAGCAGAGCTACTAGAATCTAAAGGATAAGCATCTTCTTTTTTGTTCGTTTGTTTTGGTTTTTTAAAGATGAAGTCTTACTCTGTCACTCAGGAGCATGATCACAGCTCACTGCAGTCTTGAACTCCTAGGATCAAGTAATTCTCCCGCCTTGCCCTCCAGAGCAGCTAGGACTACACGCAAGTACCACCACGTGCGGCTAAAAGTTAAAGGTATAATCATCTCAACTGCCCGTTATAAATTTCCATTGCAAGTTCTACTAGCAGGAAACAAAGATACCTTTTTTTTTTTTATCAGACTCATTAACTGTTTCATTTTTTTGTTGCTGTTATCTGCGTTGGGCAAATGGCTCTTAATGTTTGACCTATTAACTCTAATAAAGAACCTATTACTTCCTTGTGAGCAGGAACAGGAAAGCAGAATGAAAAGGAAACTTTATTTTCATGATCCCAAAACCAAGAGATGAAGAAACTGAGTACGAACCATGAACAAAGTGTTTTATTTGGCACTGCTTCTAATTTTAAAAACTGTTTCCATTCACTCCTAAGCTGCTAGGAATGCTCAAATGCTAGGCCTCCTTCTTAGATCCCAATGGGCAGCCCTGCCATGCTAGCCTGACTAAGATGGGTTGCCTCACATAATCCTGAGACAGTGCAGATGCCCTAAATCCCTCATCGCTACCTTTCAAACTACTGGGGCTCTGTGGTTTATTTAACGACTTCAAAGCAGGGTGGAACACTGCTCTGTGTATCTCACTGAATATCTCACTATTTCTAGATAGTATATCTCACTATTTCTAGATCCTCCATTTTTAAAAGGAATTGGGATTCACTCATTCATCAAGTATTATTCAGCATCTACTCCAGAGCAGATACAGCGGTGAAGGAAAAAAGTCTCAGCCCTTATGCAACCTATAAATCTAGTGGGAGGGAGAGAGACTAAACAAGTGCACCAACGAATAATTACAATATGTTACTTGCTGTAAGGGGGTAGCTAGGGAACATGAAAGATCAAGTTAGACAGAATACACAGCTGAGACATTAAAAATGAACATGAATCCTCTTAACTACTACTGCACAAACAAATGACGCCTTATATAGTATGTCCTATTAACATTAAGGGTAAAAAAAAAAAAAAACTTTTAAATTAAAAAATGCAAAGTTGGTAGGAGGGCATTCACAAAACATTAACTAAAGTCATCTCTGGCTTTTAATGCCAGAGTAAAGTGCATTCACTTTTTCTTTTAAATTAAATATTGAAGTCAGGCACCGTGGCTCATGCCTGTAATCCCAGCACTTTGGAGGCTGAGGTGGGTGGATCACTTGAGGTCAGGAGTTTGAGACCAGCCTAGCCAACATCCCATCTCTACTAAAAAAAAAAAAAAAAAATACCAAGGACAAAGTTATTTGTCCATGATTACAAAAAATAATAGAATATTACCCATGTATCTACCACCCAGCTTAAGAAACAGTGCATACCAAAAACACTTTTGACTTTTTACCATTCACACTTCTAGCAATGACTGAACTTTTTACAAAGAGCATATATCACCTTTATAACAAAAAATAGGTTTTAAAAAAATAAAACAGAGTGATCTTACCAGGTTATTCCTTACTCTCTCAGCGAGTTATATATGAGAAATAAGAATTTCCCAAGGAAACACAGAAGCTGGATCACAGGGCTATCAAAAGTACAAAGATGTATTCTTTTAACCCAAATCTGAATTTCCATGCAGTACAGAATGAATAAAGACAGCTGATTAGCTGGGGGTGGAGAGAGCACCTGTAGCTGAATGTAAGACAGGTCCTCTCTATTAAGAGTTAGGAAGGGAAGGAAAAGGGCAACTGCTAGGAACTGCCACCATACCAGCAGGTTGGAAAATGAGGACCAGCAGCTAACAAGTATACTTACTTTTCAGTTTCTGTCCCCGGATAGAGATCGTAGGTCTCATAAGAATTTCTACAAGAAGCTATAAAAAAAAAAAAAAAATCAGATAAAATCTTCAAACTTAATTGAAAGCATAACTTACAAAATGATCTTTGCCATAACCATTCATGGTCCATCTATCTGTCACGGTATGACAAGATCCTTTTGTTCCAGGAGGCAGAAAGGTTCGGTAAAAGGAACACTGCAGCAAGTTAGGACACCCAGGTTCTAGTCCCAGCTTGGCCACCTGCTTGCCATGTAAACTTAGGCAAATCAATCCCCTTCTCTGGCCTCAGCTTTCTCATTTTTGAAAAGAAGTATTTTAGACTAAGTAATCTCTGGGATCTAATATGGCTTTAACTTCTGAAAAGCTGCAGAACATTATTACTATAATTCTTGTTTTGTTTAAAGAACATTTGTGTGTGTAAGTTTATTTCAAAAAGGTCTCAGAAGATACACCATAAATTGTTAACACTGATTTCTACAGGTTTGGGGGTTACATGCATGCATATATTATTTTACATACTTTTAATACAACACAATTTTGCATAAACTGCTCAAAATAAGCATATATTTTAAAATTCATTCTATGGAGAGAAAGGGTAACTGACAAAAGCGTCAATCCACTAGGATGATATAACAACTACAAATATATATGTACCTAACAACAGAGCCCAAAAATACATGAACCAAAAGCTGGCAGAAATGAAGGAAATAAAAAATTCAAAAATAAAAGTTGGACACTTTAATACTCTTCTTTCAATAACAGATAGACAACTAGGTAGATTAGCAAAGAAATAGAAGACTTGAACACAATGAACAAACTACATTCTAACAGACATCTACAGAACACTCCATGCAGGAAGAACAGAATATACATTCTACTCAAGTGTACATGAACATTCTCTAGGACAGATCATATTTCAGGCCACTAAACAAGCCTCAATAAATTTAAAAAGACTGAAATCACATAAAGTATTTTGCTTGGCCACAATGGAATGAAATTAGAATCAGAAAGAAATTTGGGAAATTCATGAATTACGTGGATTTTTTTTCTTTTTTTTCTTTTTCTCATAGAACAACGATAAACTAGGCTATGTGGGTAACTTTTTTTTTTTTTTTTTTTTTTTTTTTGAGACGGAGTTTCACTCACGTTACCCAGGCTGGAGTGCAATGGCGCAATCTCGGCTCACCGCAACCTCTGCCTCCTAGGTTCAGGCAATTCTCCTGCCTCAGCCTCCTGAGTAGCTGGGATTACAGGCACGCACCACCATGCCCAGCTAATTTTTTGTATTTTTAGTAGAGACGGGGTTTCACCATGTTGACCAGGATGGTCTCGATCTCTTGACCTCGTGATCCACCCGCCTCGGCCTCCCAAAGTGTTGGGATTACAGGCTTGAGCCACCGTGCCCGGCCGTGGGTAACTTTTTAAACCCATCCTAAATAACAATAATAGCCCAAAGAAGAAATCATAAGGGGAAGTAGAAAGTATCCAAGATGGATGAAGATACCAAAACTCATGATGTAGCTAAGGGAGTACTCATGGGGAAATTTATAGCTGTAAATGCCTATACTAAGATGATTATTATTATTTTTGACACAGAGCCTTGCTCTGTTTCCCAGGCTAGAGTGCAATGGTACAATCTCGGTTCACTGCAACCTCCGTCCACCTCCTGGGTTCAAGTGGTTCTCCTGCCTCAGCCTCCCGAGTAGCAGCGATTACAGGCACCCGCCACCACACCTAGCTACTTTGCATATTTTTAGTAGAGATGGGGTTTTGCCATGTTGGCCAGTCTAGTATCAAACTCCTGACCCCAGGTGATCCACCCACCTCGGCCTCCCAAAGTGTTGAGCCACTGTGCCCAGCCAAGAAAATTATTTCTAATCAATAACCTAATCTTCTACCTTAAGACACTAGAAAAAGTAGACTAAATCCAAAGTAAGCAAAAGGGAGAGTAAGAATTGAAACAAATGAAACAGAAAACAGAAAAAGAACAAAACCAAAGTTGGCTCTTTGAAAAGACTGGCAAATCCTTAGCTTGACTGACCAAGAACAAAGGAGAGAGGATACAGATTACTATACTCAGAAATACAGGAGAGGGCATTATCACCAACCTTATGGCAACAAAAGTGGTTACAAGGAACTAATACAAACCGTATGCCAACAAATTAGATAACCTAGATAAAATGGACACATTCCTAGAAAGACATAAAACTATAAAGACTGACTCAAGAAGAAACAGAGGCTGAGCACGGTTGTTCATGCCTGTAATCCCAACAGTTTGGGCAGCCGAGGCAGGAGGACTGCTTGAAGCCAGGAGATTGAGATGGCTCTGGCCAACAGAGCAAGACCCTATGTCTCTACAAATAAAATTATTTAGCTGGGTGTGGTGGTATGCCTACAGTGCCAGCTACTCAGGAGGCTGTGGCAGGAGGTAGAGCCCAGAAGGTTGAAGCTGCAGTGAGCTATAATCATGCCAATACACTCCAGCCTGGGCGGCAGGGCGAGACTCCATACCTTAAAAAAAAAAAAAAAAAAAGAAGAAGAAGAAGGAACAGAACATCTGAAGAGTCCTATAATAGTGATTTAACAACAACAACAACAATAAGCTATCCATAAAGAAAAACTCTGGACATGATGGCTCAATTAGTCAGCAATACAAAACATTAAAAGAATGACCAATTCTTCACAAACTCTTTCAAAAAACAGAAGAGGAGGAAACACTTCGCAACTCATTGAAGCCAGTATTACCCTGATACCAAAACCAAACAAAGACATCACAAGAAAACTACAGATGAATATCTCTTATGAATATACACACAAAAGTCCTAAAAACCCTAGCAAACAAAATCCAGACACATATAAGTAGGATTACTGTCCACACATGGTGACTTATGTCTGTAATCCCAGTGCTTTGAGAGGTCAAGGCAGGAGGATTACTTGAGCCCAAGAGTTTGAGACCAGCCTGGGTAACACAGTGAGACCTTGTCTCTGCAAAAATTAAAACAAAAAATTAGCCAGGCATGGTAGCATGCACCTGTAGTCCCAGCTAATCAGGAGGCCAAGACGGGAGGATCACTTGAGCCCAGGAGGTTGAAGCTACACAGTGAGCTGTGATGACACCATTGCATTCCAGCCTGGGTGACAGAGAGACCCTGTCTCTCTCAAAAAAAAAAAAAAAAAAAAAAAAAAGGACTACACACCATGATGAAGTAGCAGAATTTATCCCAGGAATGTAAGGTTGGCTCAACATATGAAAATCAATATAATACACCACATCAACAGAACAAAGGACAAAAGCCACATGGTCATCTCAGATGCAGAAAAAGCATTTGAAAAAAATCCAACACACTTTCATGATAAAAAACAATCAACAAGGAACACAGAGAAACTTCTTCAGCCTGATAAAGGGCTTTTATTAACGCACAGCTAACATCATGCTTAACAGTAAAGCTAAATGCTTTCCGATTAAGATAAGGAAAAAGACAAAGATGCCCACTCTCGCTACTTCAATTTAACACTATACTGAGTGTTCTAACTAAGGAAATTAGGGAAACATAAAAAAAGAAATTAAAGGCACCCAAATTGGAAAGGAGTAAGTGACATTAACTCTTATTTGCAGATGTCACAATCTAAAATATAGAAAATTCCAAAGGAATCCACTAAAAAAAACCTAGAGCCAATAAACAAGAGTTCAGCAAGATTTCATGATACCTGATCAATATACACAAATCAACTGTATTTCCATAATTGTAGCAACAAGCAAACCAAAACTGAAATTATGAAAACAATTCCACTTAAAAGAGCATCAAAAACAGTAAGACACTTATAAATAAGTTTAACAAGTGCAAGACTTGTACCACAAAACATTATTGAGAGAAATTAAAGACAACCTAAAAAAAAAATGGAAAGCTATCTTGTGGTTCATGGATCAGAAGATTTAATATTGTTAAGATAATACTCCCTAAATTGACCTACTGATTCAATGCAATCACTATCAAAATCCTGGCTGGCTTCTTTGCAGAAATTGGCAAGTGGATCCTGAAATTCACAAACAAATACAGGGATGCATAACGGCCAAAACAAGCTTGATCTGTAAATACAAAAATAAATCCAAGTGTCTACTGTCAGTTGATTTTTAACAAGTTTGCCAAAACTAATCAATAGTGAAAGAGTAGTTTTTTCAAAAGTGGTGCTGTGACAAATGGATAGTCACATGCAAAAAAATGAAACTGGACCCCTGCCTCATATGATAAACAAAAATCAATGCAAATGTATCAAAGATCTAAAAGGAAGAGAAAAAATACAAAACTCTCAGGAGAACACATAGATAAATCTTTGTGACCTGGATTAGGAAATGGTTTCTTAGATGCACACCAATATCCAAGCAACAAAAGGTAAAATGAACTTCATCAAAATTAAAGACTTTTGTGTTTCAAAGGACACCGTCAAGAGAGTGAAAAGACAGCTACTTAATGGGAGAAAATATTTACAAATTACATACCTTACAAGGAATTAGTATCCAGAAACTAATACAACTTCAACAATAAAAAGACAACCCAATCAAGAAATGGGCAAAGCAGGTGAACAGTCATTTTTCCAAAAGCCAATCTCCAAATGTCCAATAAACAGATGATCAACATTAGCCATCAGGGAAATGCAAATCAAAACCACAATGAGATATCTCTTCATACCCACTAGGATGGCTAATAAAAGACAGTAACTATTGGCAAAGATGTGGAGAAATTAGAACCTTCATAGGCTGCTAGTAGGCATGTAAAATGGTATAGCAGCTTCAGAAAGCAGTCTGGCAGATCCTTGAAAATTAAACAGAGTTACCAGCAACTTTACTCCTAGATATATACCAAGGGAATTTTTTTTTTTTTTTTTTTTTAAGACAGAGTCTTACTCTGTCTCCGGGCTGGAGTGCAGTGGCGCAATCTCAGCTCACTGCAACCTCTGCTCCTGGGTTCAAGCAATTCTTCTGCCTCAGCCTCCTAAGTAGCTGGGACCACAGGTGCATGCCCCCCACACCCGGCTAT